AGGCTTTTGTGTAGTCAAATTAATTAATTTTTAATATTTAATTATAGCCTTTACATAATTTTGCATAGCGTTTGGTGTGTTTATGAGACATACTACTATCTGTAATTTTTTTTTTTTGTTTTTTGCAAATTTAATTCACATTCCAGGTTGGTTCATTCCATGCTAAAAGAAAAGATGATGATGATTCACACTTCTTAACAATGTATATTGTATAATTTTCTTTGAATAAACATTATACTTAAAATATTTGAATATTTTTTCGACATAGAACACATTATGTATTTTACATTAATTTCTATGGGGAAAAAACTGTTTCACTTAATGAATGTTTAGCATTATGAGGAAGAATCTGGAACAAATTATGCTCGTTAAGTGAGGTTTAACTGTACTAATTCTTTTTGGAGGAAGGTGGGAAATATGGCATGGAATGCAATACTGTACACAGAAATTAAATCTAAGTAAACAGGAAAACAGAATGTGTGACATGACTAATATTTTTGTGGAAATGGAATTACATTGGGATATGCCAGATAATTGAGAGGCCAAATTAGCAAGTGTGTATTGAATTACATTTGAATTTAGAGCTTTTTTTTTTATGAAGCAATTGTTTTGGTATGAAACTTATCTTAACATTAAGTTAAAATTATAAATATTTTAATTTTTATTATTTTAGATTTTAATTTAAAGATATTTGTTTAAAATTATTATATTTTCAATTTGGCATATTATTGTAAATTATGTTTTATTTTAATTTGTTAATAGATTCAAAAATTCATTATAACAATGTTGAATCTAACCAAAAAAGAAATTTATAATTTAAAGAGAATAAAATATATATACTGTCGACCCCCCATAACATGGTAGATACGTTCCATTCTTTATGAAATTGATGTTCTAAGAGTCTTTGAATACATGAGCCAATCACAGCCCAGCATGTATGCAGTTTACGGACTACGGCTGTTTGAAAGGTTTTCTTCCATAAAATTAATAGATTCTAGACTAATTCGACTCAACATTTCCAAAATACAAATAATTTTTTGGGAATAATTCATATAAACTACGCTATAAACAAAAAATTGTAGAATTACTTACCGAGTGTGCACCGTTTGATGACGCCATTGCTTAAGCTTGTTTTCGTTGTGGAGCTTGTCATCGAATGGCGCTCACGTGCTTCCTGATAAATTATTTCTTTTGCGAAAAATTTGCTGAACTTTGGAGACATCATTAATATAAATATAATTTTTATGGACGTTAAATAATAAATGGTTTTTAGTAGGTCTGCTGCTCGTTTAAACTCAACAGTTTGTACGATATCCACTATTAGTCTAGATTCGACCAATCCTGTCGCAACACAAGTCAGCGATGACGTTTTACCAAATTATACGAGTTTTTTTAGCGTGTTTGTATGAATACTGTCGCAATTTTTTCGCCGTCATATAGGAATCTGAACTGTATGAACCCATGTTATGGGGGGTCGACTGTAAATTTAAGAAATTTAAATATATAGTACAGTTTCACAAAATGTGGGGTATTATCCTATGAGGGACATCTCTTTTTTGAAAGAGGTAAAGCAATAGTGAAAAATTAGGAATGTTTTTCTGACTAGAAAGTTTAAGCAACACAATAAACAACTGTCTTTTGGCATAAAACTCTAATAAATACAAAATAAATGCAAGTACTTTCAATGGTGCATTACTGTTTTCATCAGACAAAAAATTTTTGTATTTGTCTGATGAAGACTAATACACTGCTGAAAGTACGAAGGTCATTTTAAGTAAAGAACGTTTGTATCTCTAGATATTTTTATTTAAGATAATGAAACAAAATGTATTTTACAACATATATGATACTTTAGCTATTTTTCTACATAGTTGCCATACAAATTTAAACATTTGTCATAGAGTTTCATCAGCTTTTCTATGCTTCTACACACTCAGTTACTGCCAAGTTCTTGAACCAGTCATTAATGGCCTCTTTCAGTTTGTTGTCAGTTCCATAGTGATTCCCGGCCAAAAAATCCTTCAATTTTGGGAAAAGATGGTAATCACTTGGAGCCAAGTCTAGGCTATGAGGAGGATGTTCGAAAACTTCCCATTTAAACTGCTGAAGCAAGTTCATCAATGCAGCAGCTGTGGACATGTGCTATCCTGAAGAAGCACAATGCTTCTGGACAACAATCCCTGCCATTTGTTTTGAACTGAAGCTTCATTTATCACATTACCATAAACCTCACACTTGGCGGGATCTTTAATTTTGTCACACACATCAAAGTCGTTGTACACAATGTGTACAATTGGTTTCCAATGTGTACCACTAATTGGGAACCATTGGTTTACTGTTTACAGTAAACCAATGGTTCCCAATTAGTGGTACACATACCCCCAGGGGTACATGAAATTGCATGAAGGGGTACGTGCGGCAATCTAAAATCGGTCAATTTAAAATTTAAATGCATGAAATGAAGCAAAAAAAAAATAATGGATGGACCATCAAAAATTCGGTAATTTACAACATGATGTCGAACGCACAAATTCGCTTATTTATAACTAAAAATATTCTCAAAATTTCATTTAAAAAAATGAATTTGCGACAATACCTAAATGAAATTCTTACGCAAGAAACAAAAATTGTACAATTAACACAATTTGTTATCGCAAAATTAATTTTGAAAATTTTTGTTGCTGTTGCGAATAACTCCACTGACCACCTTCCCATCTCTGACCAAGAGGAATTAATAGACATTTCATGCAACAGCAGACTCGAGAGTTGTTTTGCAGAGCAATCACTGAGTAATTTTTGGCTGACCTAAAAGACATTTATCATGTCAGCAAAGCGGTAATAAAATATTTACTACCATTTTGCACAACATACCTCTGCGAGAGCGGATTTTCGGCCATGACAAACATGAAAACTAGACATCATCACCGACTTCAACTCGAAGATGACTTGAGACTGAAGCTGACCAAAAAGCAACCAGATTTTACAAAGTTGTGCAAAGAAAATCGTGCACATTTGTTACATTAAAATTAAATAACCTTATGTTATTTTCATTATTATTAGAATTGTATTTTAAAGGTAATAAATGTAAAAAGACTTATTTTATTTATCACTAGCTGTCTACCCACAGCTTCGCCCGCGTTATATTGAATTTTCTCGTGGGAGTAAGATATTTTCTCGCAGTAAAATGTAGCCTATGTCCATCTCTAACATGTAAGCTATCTCTGTGCCAAATTTTATTAAAACCTGTTCAGCGGTTTAGACGTGAAAAGGTAACAGACAGACAGAGAATTACCTTCGAATTTATAATATTAGTATAGATTAAAATGAATTTCTGCTATAAGAGATATGTGAGTTTGAGCTCTTTCTTGAAGTGGTATGCAGGAAAAACTAATTGGGAACCACTGCAGTAAACGATCGTTGCGGCTCGCTGTTAGCATCAGACTGACATGAAAAAATGGAAAAGTCCATGACGCGGCAGTGGGGTGGGAGAACTGCGCGGTTCATCAGATCAAAATGTTCTTTTCTTTTAGAATGACCCTTTACTTGCATGTTTTGTGTTTATTAGAATTTTAATGCTGAAAGACAGTTGTTTGTATTGCTTATCTAATTTGCTGTCAAGTATGTGTTCAAATTTTTGCAATGACAAAGTTTTGATGAGTCTCTGATTTATATAAAAGATGATGGATATTTTGCTGTCATTTTCAATATCATATTTGTAAGAAACAGGCATCTTACTTACATATGATATAAAGAAAAAAATTTTGATCTTCATTGATAGTTAAACAAGAATTATGGCTAGCAATGTCATTATACATCATATTTTGATAATGTTATACTGACAATTTATTACACTAACAATTTTTAATATTATACATTTTTTTATGTCTTTGCATGTGTGCATGCAAATGTTAAAAAATTATAACAAATTTTAAATTTGAGCAAAACACCTATTGTAGCAAATATTAATTTAGTTTATTTGGGAAAAGGTGGGATATGAAAAATTTTTCTCATGGTAGAGCATTATTAGAAAAGTTTGAAAATCATTAGTCTAGAAGATATTTTTGTATATTATATACTAAAGATTATTTTAAAGAAAAATATATAATCTTACTAAAAAGCAGAGAAAATTTTAAATATATATTATCCAGATAAAACCTAAGATATAAAAGTTGGACATTATTCAGTACTCTGAAACATTTTTGAAGGTGCATTCATTATTTATATTTTGTATGATTTTGACATATGTTGTTTTTATTTGAATTTATTATGTTTTAACTTAAAATTTAATGATTTAATTAATTAATAGTTATTAAAATATTTTCAGACTGATGAAAGTACTTCCCGACACAGCTTTAGTTCTGACAGCGATGATTCTGATGTACCAGAAGAATTGAAAAAAGAATATGTAGAAGAAAATGCTGATGATTATCAGAAGTGTGTATTAATATATTCTGTGAAATGTATATGACTTTTTAAAAATTAATTTACATAGCATAAATTCAAAAAGTTTTAAGTTCTGCCAAAAATGCTTTTATAAAAATTGTTATATGAGATGTCACATTACATATAAAAAGTGCGTTTTACATTGCAAAACGATTTTTTAAATATGTGAGCAGCATCCCCTTGGTTTAGGATTTTTCTGACACCACCTGTGATTGGATTCACAGAAAACCTTTGAGTACATGTGTCAGCAGTATTGTATGGGGAGCAGAGGGCAAGCAAATCAAGGAAGGATAGGAGAGACATAGCGCTCAGAAGTGATTGATTTGACAGTGAAGTAACAATAAAACAACTAGATTTATTTTAACATAAGTAAAACTATTGCACAAATGACAACAGCTTTTTTATCTTTACCTATATTTACATCTATTACTATATCCTATACTTTTCTGTATTATTTGGCATCCTACTCGCAACTAATTCTGTCTAGGAAGGGAGTTTTACAATTTAATCATGTGTCAAATAACTTCTTCCTAAGAACAAACATCCTTAACCTATCAGATGTTGAAATTTTTCTCTGTTGCATGTGGTGTTACATTGAATTTTTGTCGATGTTAAGGCCTAACGAAAATTACACATTTTTGGAAAAAAAAATTGTGGCTATTGTATTGTCCAAAATTATTTTTTAATTTTGCACAAACAAAATAAATATATTAATAAGTGTAAAAACAAAAAAAATTATATTTCGGAAGTTTTAATATAAAAATTATAATGACTAGCGACATCTAGTTTCAATGATGATACAAGATATTTTGGGTCAATCAGTTAAGGTCAACAGGTTGCAAACCAAGATGTCAGGAATAACACTGGACAGGTTAAGGTTCTTTAGACAGTTTGGTGCTCCTTTGATGCAATAAGTCTTTAGAATATCAAAATGTCCTTATCTCAGATACTGCATAAGTTTATGGACATCAAATCCAAATGCAGATACACTAACAGAGAGAATTCAGGCAATGAACAAACCCCAGAGACAGGTAACCTCTAACCTCTTTTTACTTTGCTCTTTTATAGGGTACCTTCTCCTGAATCACAATATACCCAAATTTGGTAATATCATGAAGAATGTGATGACCAACCTCAAATTTTTTCATTGACTTCCCTGAATTGTTGCTCCAGGAAACTATCTTTTCGAAAGAAAGTGTGATCAAGAGATAAAATCTCATTAACTTCCTTGTTGATTTCTATGATTTTTTTAGCTTAACAACTTATTTACTTTGGATATTAAATTTTTAGAATGGGTTCTGACAAATAAAAATTTATCTATCATGTTTCTTACATTTTATTTTTATTACATGTTTCTTATATAAACTGTTTTATTTAATTAAGAAAATTTCATTTAACAACACATGAATTACAAAACAAAAATAAACTTATTAAAATTTGTAAAAAAAAAAGAATCATAAATAACAATTCTTTCATTGCCCACAAAAAATAAATTTGATTTGTCTTCACTAATATCTTCCAAAACAACATTTTGCTGATAGAAAATGCACAATCTGTCTATATTAGTGAACTATGTTGTAGCAACTGAAAGAACATTTGCTAGAATAAGATGAACAGATTATTTCATAACAACTTGTATCAAAATTGCATAGTATAAATACTGTGTTGTTCAAGAATTGCTGCCGTTTCTGAACTGCATAATATTGAAACTGTGTCATATAAGTACTGCATTATACAAGAGTTACCTGTATGTGTTTTTTTGAGTTAAATGAATATTTATTTTAAAAGTTATTTATTATTAAAAGATATTCCCTTAACCAATTATTATATTGCATTATCATACATGATGTGGCATTTTTTCATAGTATTAATGTTAGAATAGCCAACATTTTTACATTTCATATTTAATGTAGTTTTCATAAATATCAAATTAAATGAAAGTGCCTTAAAAAGATTTAAATCAATTTAGATTATAAAAATTTTCAGTGTGATAACTTAAAATATTATTTTGTCAAAGTAATTAGTCTAAATTTTATTTAAAATAATTTTGGGTTGTTTTGTATTTGATATTAAACTCAGGTGTTATTACTTCCTTATTATATTTTTTAATAACATGAACACTTTTTCATCAGCCCTTTATTTGAGGCTACTTGGTCATCTCTAAAAATGTCTGTTTAAAAATATCCCAAAGCAACATGAGACATCTTCTCTAATTGCCTATGCACATCTGGAACTATGGAAGGAATTTAACTGTTGAATTTATGGTCATTGCTCTCTGATATGCAAAACTTGCTCAAATGACTTCTGGTAGGTGGAATACTTTTACAAGTTCCACTTATTTTAAAAAATCCAAAAATTCTTTGAAAGTTTTAATTTCAAATAAATTTTTAAATTATAAGACAAACCAAAGTAAAAAAGTGAAGATTTTTACTTTCCCAACTATTATAGGATATAACATAGGGAAAGTATAATGATTGGTCAGATTTTGACCACCTCCCATTTTTTTTTCATTTGTTTACATTTTGACACTTGAGTTCAAATATCTAAAAACAAATTTCCTTATAAAAGTGTGTGTGTGTGTGTCAGTGTTTGTTTTGCATTATATCTCAGGATTGAATGAGCCAAAGATTTTGAAATTACTAGATTCTTTCTATATATGGGGCATTGATGCTATTAAACTTTGGTGTTAAAAGTCAAATGGTAAGGCAATAAGGGTCAAGTCATATCTTGGGTGAGGTTGGATTAATGAAAATTTTACTCATTATTGGAATTTATAATAATATTCAAAAGCTACTTCTATCCTCAAAATTAAGCCTTCTGCCTTTTTTATAATAATTAATATAAAAATGAGTTTTTAACAAAATTTCATAACATGGACCCCACACAATTTTAACTTTGAACTAGTGCCTTCCTTAGTTTTTTTTTTTTTTTAAATAGAGAAATTTATCATAATTATATAAAATTACTCCTTTTAAGCTTTTGTTGTTTAAATTTTATATTCTAGTATAATTAAACATAATTGGATTTTCCGGTCCCCTTAACTTCCTGTTTGAGTGCTCGGAAAATCAAGAAAAAGCTCTTTTCAGAGTTTCTGATGTACAATATGCTTTTGGCTTAACTTATACAAAGTGTTTCTGAAATGGTGGGACAAACTTCAGGATGATTCCTTACAGGAAAATAAAGAAATTAAAAGGTATATAAACATGTCCAGAAATAGACAGTTTTGAGAAATCAAACCTCTTATGACAATGTCAGATGCAAGATAAATTTTATTATATAACTCTCTTACATAACTCTTGACTAAAATGAGCTCCAGCTTACTTTAATCAACTTTTATAGCATGTACACATTGATTAAATAAAGTGAGCTGGAGCTCACTTTAATCAATATGCATGTGCTATATTAAACAATAAACTATATATCCACACAGATACATAGGCAGAGCAGGTCCAGTGGCATGGCATCTACATTCCCAGTCTGAATCCTTTGGATTTTTATCTGTGTGTCACCTGAAGATGCTAGTGTATGCTGCTCCTATTGGTAATGTCAACATGCTGCTGCAATGCATTGTCAGTGTCGGCACTACCATTTGCAGAAGGCCTGAAACCTTCTAAAAAGTACAGCAGTCCATGTTTTCAAGTCTCCATGCTTACATAGATGCTTATGAAGACTATTTTGAACATTTTTTTGATGAAGAGTGCTATGTAATCAAGAGAATATGTAATAAAATCTGTCTTAAATCTGATACTGTCATAAGTTTGATTTCTTGAAAACCATCCATTTTCAGATATATGTTTACTTGCCTTTTTTCATTTTCCTGTGAGGAATCATCCCCAGTTTGTCCCATTATCTCAGAAACACCCTGTATTAAATAGCAAATAGCAATTATTAGACAAATCACATAAATGGAAAATTTTTAAATTTTTATCTTAGAAGAGAAATTACTTTATAATACTGTTTGTGTCATATAATAAATTATATTATTTACTTTTATTTAGAGTTTCAAAAACACACAAAAAACATAACTTCACTACCAAGAAAAAGCAACCTCCTATTTTGACAAATACAACTTTGAATGTTTTGAGATTATTTGGTATGGCAAATATATTTTTTTACTGTTTCTATATGAGTAATATAGTTTATATATATAACAATTAACAGTAAACAATTTTTTTAGGCAAATATATGCAAATGATGCATGTTTTGAAACCGATTGCTTTTGACGTTCTTAATTGTATGTTTCAATTATTTGATTATTATATGTATGCTGTAAGTATTAGTTTTTTTTATATCCAAAGTAAATTTTTAAAATTGTATATTTAATATGACTATATACAAATTGCAGTTTTCTAATAATAGTTGTGGTTATTGTAAAATTTTTATTTCTGAAGCTATAAAAGATTGAAAGCTGATAACAACAATAATTGTTTTGTATAATATTTTTTATAGATAGTTATTACATTTCTCATTATGCTTTATGGTCCATAATAATTAAATAGATTAGAAAGCAATTATACATTTAATTGGTAATAAAAAATAATAATAATTTGCAATTTTTGAAAGATTCAGTTCTATTAAGATGCTTGTTTTTCATTCAAAAATAGTAAGATAAAGAAAAAAATGAATAATGCTATACTTCAAATATTACAAAAAGACAAAATGTGATTTATGTAAAATACAAAAATATAATATATCAATATTTTTATTAATCATTTTAAAGAGTTATTTCTCTGAATTGAATTCAATATTGTTTTTCAGGTGTTTTGCTTTTTTGCAAAAGAAATGGTAAGTTTATAAACTTTTTTTGAATTTAACTTTAATGCATTCTTTTTTGATTTATTTCACTCACCTAGTATTAGGGTTTCTCAAATGGGATCCTGATTGTTTTTTTAACCTGGTAAATATCCTGGGAAATTCTTCTCATCCCAGGAAATCCTGCAAATTTCTTAAAAATTCACTTTTTTCTTATTTTGTGTTAAGATTGAGGAAATTTTGCAAATAGAAAGTATAATTAACTCATAAACTGTCAGAATACATTTGTATTTATTAATTTTAAACCTACTTATTAGTTTTTTTAATTTTTACTCTTTATGTTTGTTATGTCACAAATGGTCAATAATCAATATGTAGCTTATTTGTAGTAGGACTCTAAAAATTCTGTACTTGTCAGACCCTGTAATATCTGGAAAAATTGTGCTTATGCTATCTTAATTTTTAACCATGCCCAGTAGCTTCAACAACTGCATAACACCAGGTTGTGCAAATTGGGCAAGGATACAAACGAGTATGAAGGCTGCAAGTATGAAGTTTTTCTTTATAAACCTGATTATTAAAGACAAACGAACTGCTGAATTATTGGGCCATAAGCTTGATGTTTCTATTAAAGCAGCAGAGGTAGACAAATCAAGAATACTAGAGAGCAAAAATACAATGATCTCGAAAACAAACTAGATATCTTCCAAGTTACAGGTGGAAAAACACAACATCCATCTTCTCTTAAATGCATTAACCTATTTGATGTTGAAATTTTTATTTGTTGCCTGTGACGCCATGTTGAATTTTCATTGATGTTAAGCCTAAATTTTTTTAAAATAATAATCGTGTTTACTGTATCGTAAAAAAATCATTTTTTTATGTTTCACAAACAAAATATATATATTGAATAATATAAAAATGAAAAAAATTTTATTTTAAAAGTTCGTTTTAATATAAATTGTGACGCGAAGCAACATCTAGTATCAAAAACGTTCCAATGTAAACACGGAAATATTCGGGATCTCCCACGCAGGTCAATGAGGTTAACCCAAATATTTTCGGGATCAACATAGGACAGGTTAAAGATGATTCCTCCCACATGAATTGAATTGGAAAGGGCATTCTTGATAGCAGGACTTTTCATTAGTTAAATAAGAACCAGATTGATTGATTGGTGGAGTATTTGACCATCTTTGCTTTTTAAAATCTTATAAAAATTTACAATAATATTTTGTATTATGTTTTATTTATAAAATGAAAATTACCTTTTAAGTTAGAAGTTTGATCTAAGTTCATTTTTTTAAATTTTCAACTCAATTCAAAGCATTTTTATTATTGTTGTTGTTGTATGCCAGTTTCCAGCAAACTTTAATAAATTTTTTCTATTTGTGAAAATTTCTACGTAATTCAAAGGTAATTTTTAATATATATTTTACACAGCATTATTAATATGATTTAGGAGGTTGCAGAAAGTATTAAATTACTTTAAAAAATGAGAAATAATTATATCATTTGATTTCAAGATATTTTGTATAGCTTAATAATAATTAATTCTATCCTGGGAAACAGTTCACTTTTATCCTGGAATCCCAGGACAAGCAAAAGACCAGAAAATGAGAAACCCTACCTAGTATTACTAAAATATCTTGTTAAAGTTATAGAACACAATAAAGTGTAAAACTAGTTTAGAAATCATGCTAAATAGTTTTTTCCTTGAATTTATTGAGATGTTTTCTCATGAAATTTTTGAAAGAATAAGCTTACTTTATGTTTTATTTAAAACTGAAAATCTGGAACTATTGGACATGTCTCAAGCTAAATCATTGCTATAGTTAAAATATGGTAGAATTTTATTTTAACGGATCACAGAATAATGGATTTTTTTCTTGGTCTTGCAAAATCAATGTAATTTTACTTCTTTTTAGCAGATTTGTTACTTGGAATAATGGATTTTTTTTAACCCTAAATCTGTTGTAAACGTTTCATTTTTTTTCAACATTTAATTAATATTTGGGATATTTGTTTCTAGAAATTTGTAGAGTTTTATGATGCATTTGTTACATTTGGGGTATATACAATTGAAGAATTATACAAAGAGAATCAGCTGGCTGATATGATCAAGAAGATGTCACCTAGTGAACACTCACTGGTCCAAGAATAGTGCCAAAATTTAATGAGGCCATCAAGTATTTCCAAGTCGTGAAGACCTTCCTGATGAGTTTCAGCATAAATGAATAGGCTGTACTGTGCATGACATTGCTAATATCCAGCGGTGTTGTATTCAATAGACAGAAAAGCAGCATTGAAAGAAACCACAATGGATGAGTTTTTTCAACAAAGTGAAAGAACTGAAGTGCTAATGAGTATATGTAATTAGCTTCTTTTTATGCTTACTATATGTACAGTTTTTATCAGCTTTGTCATATGCATGTATGTTACAAACGTACATGTTTCTATGGGAAAAAGAAGAGAGATCTGAAGAGATAATTTCAAGTTCTGGTATTTCTTATACAGTTGACCCCCCCATAACACGGTAGACACGTTCCGTTCTTTATGAATCCATTTTGTACGAGTCCGTGCCAATCACAGCCCGACACGTGTGAAGTTTACGGACTACAGCTGTTTGAAAGGTTTTCTTCCATAAAATTAATTGATTCCTAGACTAATTCGACTCAACATTTCCAAAACACGTATATTTTTTTTGGGAATAATCCGTATAAACTATGCTATAAACAAAAAATTGTAGGATTTCTTACCGAGTGTGCACCATTCGACGTCGCCATTGCTTAAGCTTGTTTTCGTTGCGGAGCAACGCACCAAACAGTGGGCATGATTTCTGATAAGTTATTTTTCTGCGAAAACTTCGTTGAACTTTGGAGACATCATTAATATAAATAATTTTTATGCCGTTGAATAAGAAATGTTTCTTTCACAAGAAATGTATAAAATTAGTGCTGTATTAGACTTATGGTACCTAATTTACATACTGTACAGACGATAGTAAACTCAACTTACTTGCCTAAACTCTCTGTAGCGTGGTGCTGGATGGCGGAAAGTAGTTCGGCTGCCCGATGACATTTTACCGAATTATAGGAGTTTTTTACCATGTTTGTACAGATACCGTTGCAATTTTTTCGCTGTCATATAGGAATCCAAACTATAGGAACCCGTGTTATAGGGGGGTCGACTGTATATAGGGGTAAAAACAATTTTTTTCAAATAACAGATATTTTCTTGGGTGTGTGGAAAATTCGTTGTTTGCAATATAACTGATTCCTGGAACAGTGGATGATTTTCAGTGGCCCAAGTGATTCGTTAAAATGCGATTATTCTTCTGTAGCTTATCAGCAATTATAAAATACAAGCATAGTTGTAACTTAAAAGACCATAAAGAGGTGAACACATGGAAATGGAATTGGGGTTGCAAATTTACTGACTTTTTTATTACTGGTAATATAAATTTTCAGAATGTTGTTGGTTTACTGGTAATTTTTAAATTTTGACTCCATTGCAAAAGTTAGCATGCTAGTGATTGTTTATACTCAGTTGACACCAGTGGCTGTGTACTATGCCGGACCAGCGTCAAGGCAATTATTATTATTACAGTAGAGTGTCGTTTATCCGAATCAATTGGGGACTGGGGTTGTTTGGATAGCTTATTTTTTGGATAACCAATTATGTATGAAAAAATATATTAATTTATCCCGTGTTGAAATTTTTCTCCATTGCGTGTCGCTTCACATTGAATTTTCGTCGATGTTAAGTCTAATGAAGACTTGTATCGTTAAAAATTATTTTTTTATTTTGTACAAACAAAATAAATATATTGAAAAATATAAAAACAATAGTTAATTTAGTATCAAAAACGTAAAATATTTGAGTAGCCTAAGACATAAGCAAAGATTACAGCGCCACAGCACTGGTGAAAATTTAAATTTGTCGACTGGAATTCCTTTGGATAAATGACGCTCTACTGTATTATTATTATTATGTTGCAAATGTCATGTTCAGCTGACATTGGTGCCAAGTGCTATGCTGAACCAAAGTCAAGGCATAGCTATTCAAACAAGTGAAACATTAAGCTTCTGTGTTATTAGTGTAAGTGTCTACTCCTAGGAATTTCCTAACAATGTGATAAGTGTTCAATGTTATATGTTTTTATTAAGGTTTAATGTTTCTAGAATTTTGTGTAGTGTATGGGATATGACATCAGTGGAAGAGAGAACAATAGGCATAATAAATATCCTATCTATTCTCCACAGTTACCTTATTTCATGGGCGAGTGCAGTGTACATGTTGATTTTTTCAGTAGGAGCATTTTTCATGTTATGAATGTTTGGAATGGAGATGTCTATTATATAAGCGATCTTATTGCATTTGTCAATGAAAGTGATGTCAGGTCTATTGTAATAAATTGTTTTATCAGTGATTATGGCTCTGTCATAGTATATATGTTGTGTGTGTCATTTTCTAAAACTGCCTGTGGAGTATATAGTATGTTACCTGGGGTTTAATAATCTGTGTGTGTGTGCAAGCTCTCGGTGTATTATATTTGCTATTTGATTATGCCTCTGTAAATAGTTTGTTTGTGCTAAGAGCTTGCAACCAGAAGTTATATATTGTTTATTTCTGGCAGAATATGTTTTCTGCAAGTGTCATTTATGAGTGATGGATCCTTCAGAATGTGTTTTCTGTAGCTTTTAGTGTTTGACCTAATCTTAAATGGCAGCTATAAAACCTTCAGTCTCTTCAAACTGGCAGCCTGCAGTCAGCTAGTAGTTTGATGCAGTTTTGTCAATATAGTCCTGATCTAGGTCATATGTATGCCTGCCATGAAGTGCCTTTTGGCCCATGACTGTTTAATTAATGGTGTCTGTTGTTTGTGTTAAGCTATGACCAAGTGCTCAGAGTGTAAGTTTAAAGGTATGTGATTACTGTCTGTGAGAGTTATAGTTTTATGTAATATTGATTTGTTTTTTGTGGAAAAAGTGTCAGAATTTGTTTGTAGAGGAGGTTAACTATATTAGTCAGGCCATGGTCACCTTCTTTATGAGGAAGAGTTAGTATTATTAATACTTTTATTTATTTTTTATTACTGTAATGCAATCCCTAAATGGAACTGATGGCTAAAATTAATGTGAAGAAATACAGTGGAATCTGGTTATTATAATAATGGATAATCTTATCAATTGGTTATTGTTATCAATTATGATAATTGCACTTGGTGACAAAGCATAAGAATTCTTAGAAAATTTGTACTACTGTAAATGGACCTTTTCTTCAGAACTAACTTTTAATCAAAGCATACATTTTATATTTTACATACTGACAAGTATGTAAAAGGTAAGACACATGTAATGGCATGACAAGAATTCTTGGAAAATACATGTACTGTAGATTTTTACTTGAAGTATTCCTTTGAGAATGAACATTTCTGTTAAGATTTCTCTAGTTTAATTTTGTGATTTGTTGAGTTAAAAACTCTTGTTTATAAGAAATGTTAGCATATATACAAAGGAAACATGATAACTTCCTGATCTAACTTACTGCACAAGGCTGAAAGACGTGTCAAGACAGTATATGAAAGATTAATGTCATATTAGGTTTGATGCAAATTTAGTGGCTGTAGTACTAAAAGGTGATTTACAGTGGATTTCTCTGTATGACATGGCAGAAAATTTTAAACTGAGTATCAGTCAGTCATCAAGTTTTTTATAAAATGTTAAGCATCCTTGGAAATCAAGCAAAGCCTAGATTGTATGTATAGAGGAGCTTTGCCGTCATATATGACTGTCAAAGAATGCACTAAACATTTTTGATTAGGACAAAAATCTTTTGAAGATGTGAGATCTGGTCGTCCAGTAGACATAACCTTGAAAAAATTGGTGTGGTGGAGGAGCTGGTTCTTTCAAAATGCCAATTCAAAATGAAATAAATAGTAACAATATCAATATATCAGATACAAGTGTTTGGTATAAACTTCATGAGCATCTAGACTTGAGCAAAGTCAGTGCAAGATGGGTTCCAAAACTTGTTTCTTTTGTCTAGTGGCAGCAATGTGTAGAAAATGCACTTTTAACTTTGAATCTATATGGAGAGAATGGAATTGAATTTTTGAAATCTATTGTTACATGAGACGAAACTATGGTCCTTTATTATAACCCCTTTTCCAAAATGGAATTAATGTAGTGGCAAAGACCATGGGAAAGACCCCCAAAAATACGCTAAAGTGTCACCATCAACCAAGAAGGTCATGGATAATAGTTTTTGGACTGTGAGGGCATATTGCTGATGGACTTTAAAGAAAGAAATCCTACTGTAAATGCAAAATAAGGTCTGTTTTATATTTATGTGGACACCTATCAACAACTTAATAATGAAAGCAATGCATTGTTTCAGTCCAATATTTATTTACTAAGGTTTGATATAATACAATAAATTATGGAAAAACATATGGTACTGTTACTTTACAGATATCAAAAACAGAAATGTATCAAAATAAACTGTTTCAAATTTATCTGGACAGAATTCTATATCTCAGCATTGTACACAAAGTCACCATCCAATACTGCCACCGTATTGCTAAATAACATCAAACACTGTCTGGCACTGTTCTATTAAGTATTGCAGATATTCAAATTTCAATTTGTCCAAAGCATCTGTAATTGTTAGTTTGAGCTCAGTAATGTTTTTAAACTGTCTCCCATCTAAACTACTCTTGCCAGCATACTCTGAACATTTTTCATGGGATTTAGGTCTGGAATTCTGACAGGCTAGTCCATAACTTTTATATTATATATATATTTTTTTAACCATGATTTTGTAGACTGAGTTGTGTGTGGATGCATTGTCCTACTGGAAAGTTCAATTTGGGCTAAAAATAATGGGTCCAACATCCACAAAATGATCATGGAGCGTGTTTTGATAATCTTCTGAATTCAAACACTCGACAAACTTTTATGTAAGTCTTTGAAATCAAGGATGATTATATTGAAAAGTAAATATTATTTGTTTTTTTTCCCTTCTTTCTTTTTCCTTGCCCTTTTTCATTAGGTTAGAATCTTATGGTGCATCCTATGTAAATGTGTAATGTTGTATTAAATGTACACTTCATGATTAATATAAATTTTTAATTCTCTGTTTAATGTTATCAGCCAGTTATTGTTATCAAAAGTTGCAAGTTTCAAAGTGATCAAAATAAGTAATTCAGCAAGATGGTTGTCACTAATGCACTATAAGCAGTTATATTTAAAAAAAAATTATTGAATACATTGAAATTAAAATTGTAGAGATAATAGAAATTGTATTACAGCATAACTTGGGAAATTTTTACACAAAATCTTGCTAAAGTTCAGTAGCCTTATGAAATATACAAAATATGAGAATGAGTGTTTATATAAAGAATTTTTGTAATCATATATGTGAATAGTTAAAATTCTCAAGTTTGAGAATACATGATGATTGAAATATAAAACTTTATATAATTAATATATATTCCGATATTAATTAACTAATTTTAAAATATAAAAATTATTTCAGTGCGATCTCAATGAAAACATTTTGAGCAATAAATTGAAAGCTTCCCTTAAACGTATTAGAGAACATTTGATCTTGGATGAAAGTGAATTTGAATCTGATGATTATAGAAAAAAGGTAAAATTATATTTTAGACAAAAATTTCAAAATATTGTTTATTGGATTGAATATATTTTTAGGATAAAGTTCCTCCGGCTACTTTATCTCCAGTTGTTAATTTAAAGAGTAATGAGCAACTTTATGGTTTGGCACAACGGATAGCTGCAGCTGAATCACTGTAAAAATTTTTCTTGTATTAAATCTGTATGTATGATTAATTTATTTGAGGCTTAAAATTGATTTTATTTTTCAGTGTGTTTTTAGCAGAACAATTTGAATTTCTTAAACAGTCACTATCAACAATAATTCCAACTTCAAAACAATCATTTCTTCTTCAATTTTGTTCCCAAGTAAGATTATTTTATTTTATTATTGTACTTAATATGATTTTGAAATCAGCTTAATATAAACATTTTTTTTTTCTTTCAAATTTCAGTCTTTATCGACAGCAGTGGAACTTCGCAGACCAGTTTACGTAATTGTTTCTAGTAGAGCTGTTGATTATGATAAAATATTAAATCTTATGGGAACTGTGAAATGGGATGTACATGACATAATGTCTCAGCATAGTTCTTATGTTGATATAATGCTCAGGGTAATACATTTATTTTTTATTTCAAAATAATTTCTTTGTAGAATTTTAGTCAGTTTAAAATTTTAAGTAGATACTGATTTTATTTAATGGCTTATTAAATAAAAATTTGGAAAAATATTTCAAGAAAGAGCACAAACAAACTATGACTAAAATTAATCACAAAAAGTAAGAAAAAATATACCTTTATTGTTTATTTAGTTTAATTATTTATCAAATTTTATTTGAATAAATCTGGAGAAAATAAATTTTGGCTTTATCTGTGATAATAATAATTGTATTGCTTGCAGTTGATACTAATTTTAAAGTATATGTTTTTTATTTTATGTACAAGTTTAAAATGTGTTCTAACAGAAAATTTCAAGAAGAAAAGAAACATTAGATATATTATATCATTTAATATTTTTTTGTGTTTTATTCATAACAAAATTGTCCAAATTTTGAATTTATTTAAATAGCAGTTCTTACAAATTTATTGCAATTTTCATACTTCAAGACTTCTTTGCAGTTATTCAAACTTTTTCATAAATTACCAAATTCATAATGGGGCAACTGGGTGATGAGGGATGGAACCCAAAGAATGACCTATAGTTAAGAGTTGTTAGGTCAGCTAGAAAGATTTTCACAAGGTTAGTTTCCAGTTGCAACCAATTTCCACTACTATCAAACATATATATATTTTTTTTTATCTCTTCCCCTATACAGACAAAAATTAGAAATAGAATGAATGCTCAGCTTTTAGATGTACATGTTTACTTAAAGTATTATTCTCTAAATAAATAAATTAATTAATTAATAATGTTAGTTTTCAAACTTGAAATTATTTTCATGAATGAAAGTAATTTTTGAATTATTAATAAATGTGATTAAATACTAAAATTATTAATATTTACATAAATATTTGTTAATTATACTTTTGATTTTTATATAATTCAAGTTATTAATAAAAAAATGCAACAATTAACTGCATTTTATTGCACATTTCCTGTAAAAAAAGAGTGAGTCAGTTAGCCAATTAACAGGTTATTTGGCAGAAAACTAATTAACTAACCAGTTATTAGAAAACTTTGGTTACTTGACATTTCAAGTTAATATACGGAGTCAACACACACAACTATACCAGGAATATCCAGCACAAAACGTACAGGTAGCCCTCGGTTTACGCCACAGTTCTGTTCCTACAAAAGCCGGCGCAAATCAAATTGGCGTAAAACGAACCCGTATTTACAGTGAGGTATAGGGTTAGGTTCTACATAAGTGAAAAATAAGCTAATAATTTTGTTTATTAATACAATATAATACAAAATACATATAAATTTTTAATTTTTAAAATGTATTTTATCATAAAATAAAGTAAAATGTTTTTATTTAAAAATTTTAGTTTCGAATTTCTTACATTTTTCGGAAAAAAGTATCCATCTTTAATTGTTTACATTTTTGATTTCTTTCATTAAGAATTTCGGAATATGGTCGAATATGATGCTCCTTTTTACATTTGCACTTCGCTCCCAACATTGTCTAACTCACAAACTTCATCCGTCAAACTTTCCTTAGTTGAAAGGATACGTTAACCCGACGTAGAGCTACAGACGAGCGAAGACACTGATTGGTCGACCACCGGTCGCCGTAGCGCATATATAAGGTCAGTTTGAGCGGGAAAATTCAAGGTGGCTAAGGAGAGATAAATATCGTCTGGCCAACGAGAAGTAGATTTGTCTCACTAACGATAATTTGTGATCGCCGGAAGTGCTATTGCGTCGTAAGGTGTTTTCCTGAATGAACTGATACGGGATACATTCATTGGCGCTATGGATTCGGACGCCATTTATTGGACTATTAAGTTTAATAACTTGACTCGTGGGTACCTAAACGTTTAGTATTTTAATATTAATTTAATGCAAATGTATACATACCCAATAATAATAAACAGAAAAAATAAATATATTTAATAAAAATCTTTGTTTTAACGAATGTACAATGTCGCGGCTCGGTAAATATGTCAACACTGAAATGAAAATCAGTCTAGCATAGGGAAAATCGGGGAATTACACCTCAAAATGGCGAATTGCGCAGCGCCGTTATTGTGAATTGGTGTAAATTGAACCAGCATAAACCGAGGGCTACCTATACTTACTTAAAATAATGAAAACAAACATTTTTGACAATTTTTAAATTGTCATCTCATCTTCAGGCTAAAAACAGTGAAACAAGATGGGTATCCTTTCATCCTTGTCCAAAATCTCATCTGTAAATATCAATCTGGGTACAAATATAAGAAGGATGAACCAAAAAACCCACAAAGTTGTCAGGTTTAATCAACATCTTTCCAGGGTTTACATACAAATTATGAGAACAAACGAACTTAGTATCTCCTAAATGATAAACTCAACTGTGTTCTCTTTATTATGGAATGCCAAAGATACTATCAACACAGAAATCATCTGTTGTGTATTCTATTCCGATTACAGACAACAAATTCAACAAGAAATGGGTATACATAGGAACAACAGCTTAATTTCTTTACAAGTATATCAAGGAGCACCATTATTCTATCCAAAAGGGCCTTTCACTACATCATTAATGACATTTGCATCCAAAAATGATATAATGAAAAAAGTCTAATACATCCTAGTAGGAATTGGATCAATCTGAAACATCTAGAAATACTCAAAATATACAAAATTAATTTTTGGTACATGGCCATAAATTACAAAGATGCCAAAACATTCTCCAAAGCATGGCAGTCTATTTTTGAAGTACAACTATAAATTAAATCTTATTACTTAAAAAATAATCATCATTATTGATGTCAACATTTTTCAACCAATGAAGTAATTGCTCCATACATTTTAAAGTGAAGTTCAAATTTTTATGTTGATGTTTGACCATTTTTAACATGAAAGTGACAATTTAAAAATTGTCAAATGTTTGTTTTCATTATTTTTAGCATGTATATTGTGTACTGGATATTCCTGGTATAGATGTGTGTGTTGGACTTAATTAAATCCAGTTTTTATTTACAAGGAGGTTGTCATACATTTGCCTCTCTGATTCAAATAAAACTTGGCAAACACATAGACCTAAACACAAATAGATTCTTGTTCAAATAATAGGACTACTACTCAAGTGTTTCTGAAAAATGGGCCTTTTTGAAAATTGAGTATTTAGCTTGCGTCTTTGGAAGGTTCAATTTTTGTAATTGATATAGCTGAGTGGATAAGAAGCTAGGTGTAGGAGCTGTGCAATATAGGTTCAATCCTTTGCACTTTTAGGTTTTTTTAAATGTGTAACAAAATTATTTTTTACCGTATCATTAGCATTATCATCACTATTGTTATTCTTTACATTTAAAGCTTATAAAAGAGATTTAAAAAAGTGATGTCCTTTTCTATTTAGTGAAAATGAAGTCTCTAGATTTCACTCTTGTATGTCATTAAATAAAATTTTTACTTGTTTATATTAATTTCCACACAGTTATATTTGAAGTGAAAAACACATGAATGGATGAGGAAAGTCTCTACAACATAAAAAAATGCTGTAACTATGCTACCCAATCTCTATATCAGACATTTTTTTTGTTCGTCCACAGTAATTTCTGAAGCTTATTAGCTTGTGTCGACATAGTATGTAATCACAAGTGAAAACATCCAAAAATAAATATGAATAAATAAATATTTTATTTAATGTCATACAGGAGTTAAATCTAGAGACTTCATTTTGCTAAACAGGAAAAGATATCATGTTTTTTAAATCTGTTGTGTTATAAGCATGAGAAATAACAATAGTAGTAATGCTAAATATACAGTAAAATAATAAAATAATTTTGTTACACATTAAAAAAAACCTAAAAGTGCAAAGCCTTGAACCTACATTGCGCAGCTCCTACACCTAGTCTCTTATCCACTTGGCTATATCAATTACGAGAATTAAACCTTCCAAAGACTTATAAGCTAAATACTCAATTTTCAAAGATCCATTTTTCAGAAACACTTGAGAATTAGTCCTATTATTTGGACAAGGATCTATTTGTGTTTAGATCTATGTGCTCGCCAAGTTTCACTCAAATCAGAGAGATGAATGTCTGGTTGTCTCCTTGTTAATATGTAGTTATTGTTAATATATTGAGAGTTTAATTTTTACAGGATTCTGTGGAAAGTAATATGCTGAAATGTAATTACTTTTTGCTAATAAAAATCACTGATTTTACATTAAGAGTTTAGATAGTGGTAATGTGGACATATTTAGCCATATTAATAAAAATAGGAGCAAAACCTTATACTTATGAGCATGAAGCTAATGCTTTTGAATGAAGGTTTTGTTTTAGTAATAAATATTTTGTATGAATAAAAGTAAGCATTTACTTTGAATTATGAGCATATCCTTCAAAATATATGCATCTAATCAGATGTATACTCAACTGCAAGAAGTATGGTTTGTTGTTGCTTTTATCTAGGTTTATTTTCTGTTAATGTTTAACCATGGCTGAAGTAGTTAATCTAAGGAAGGTTAAACATAAACTTTGTTCCTGTCCACTAGTCAGTGATTTCAAGGCATGATTTAAGTTTGAAGAAGAAAATGTTGAATGGTTGACACACAATTTTTTTAGGAATGATGAATGAATCGTGTGGTGATGTGTTAAACATATTTTCATTTTTTGTAAAGAAGTTAAGATATTTAACTGATCCTGGATTCCAAAAAGGCATAGAAGAATTTGGTGTAGAACAGTCAACAGTGTCATGAACTGTGAGCAATGTTGTGGAGAAAATGCACTCATATAGGAATAGAATAACCTAGACTTCATGTTGATGAGTACATTAATTGAAAAATTGCCCAAATTAAACATACAAGCTACTTGTGATGCCAGATGCATTTCTTGTTTAATAAATTGCAAAATTTGGTTATCTACACTAATTAATTAACAAAAGACCAACATGTGTATGATTAATATGAATTAAATACAGCTAATAAAATAGAACATAGGGAACAGGATTAAATGTGTCATAACCTGGGTACAATTGCAGATATGAATGATGCTGTTGGATCTTTAACAGAGCTATAGAGCATGTCGATAGGAGCAAAAAATGTCAAAGGAACCATGCCTCTAAATGTGATCCTTTGCAAGATATAACTGCCCAAAATCAGATGCATGCGATTGCGAGTCACATTGTGCACTCCTCTAAGACTATTTCATTTAACTATTTAGCCCACATGACTATACCAGCTTTGAGTAGCCGTAATACTTGGTTTTATATAGTTTTAGGGGGTGTGGGCTCATCCCTACCCTGGCACTGAGGTGTGAGCAATAATGAGCACAGAAGTGCACAACTACATGTATAGTGTTGGTCAAGGTGAGTGATAGCATGATGACATGGAGCATGGAAAATAGGCAGTAGTACTGGTTCAAGATAAAAACTGGTCAGTAGATGTTAATGCATTTATTATTTGTGTTACAGGCACTGTGATCAGTGCCTATAACATAACATGCTTGCAAGCATGATGGCAACTGGAACTGCCGTCATTGAGTTCCACATTTAGAGGTGAATATCTTGCAAAGGGTCCAGTGATGGACTTTTCGTTATTCTTTGATAAATATTGTTAGAATGTCTGATCACATTGCTATACTGACTGTTAAACATGCGATAGACTTAGTGGAGCATGCCATGACTCCCTATAGTGCTTGGAAGTAAGCTTTAGGTTGATTTCGGAGGGTTATATCTCACAAAGGGTCACATTTGGAGATATGGTTCCTTTGACTGTTTTGCTCCTATGAGCAAGCTCTACAGCTCTGTTAAGATCCCAACAGCGTCATTCACATCTGCAATCTTATCATAACCTGCATATTGAGAACCTTTTACTCATTTACCAAAAGAATTTGCTCAGATATTAATCATTATTCATACCAAATAGAGGAAATGTTTTCACTTCTACCTTATGCTTATTAGCATTTCCTTTGTTTTTATTCATATGGGCCATTGTCATAGTTGTAAGAAAGAACTAGTTCACAGCCTGTTTTGTTCATTAAAGATAAGTAAAGCTAAAACCTATCTGTAGTTAATACAGAGGTGAGCAAGAATTATACTCAGACCTTTACTACTATTATAAAATTGCAAGGTTGAGATTGATTTTAAACTGGAATTTGTATGATAGGAAAACTATGTAGCATCCAATTGTCTTTCAATTATTGATATTGACAGAATTGTGATAAATTTTATTTATGAAGATATGTTTAGTTTGTAAAAAAATATACCTTTTGTCATAAAAAATACTGTATATTATTACAATTGTTAACAGTATTACTGAAAAAAGTATTTAAACTTATAAAATTTTACATGATTATTTTTGGTCTGATATTTTTTTTATATTATAAAAATATTTGACTTATTTTAATTTAAAAATAACTTTGTTATTTTGCCCATCATCAAGAGTGATTTCATTTTTTTCCTTTGATTTAAATCTTTATAGATATCTAACATAAATTTTTTTCACTATGTTTAAAATTTATATTACATTGATTTAATAATTATGCTTGATAGCAGTCAATCTCATATTTCTTCATTCAAATTTTAATAAAAATGTTTTTTTTTAATTGAAATTTACATTTACAGTATCAGAAATTATTGAGTAACTATTGAAATAAAGAAATCTTTCTAATTGTTTAAATTTGTTTTCTGTAATTAGTAATATATCTGTAAAAAAATTGATTTCATTCACTTTAAAATCTTGTAAAACTTTTAGGAATTGCAAGTTTTTAGTATGAAGCTATCCGAAATATCCAAAATTATCCGAATTCCAAAAGAAGCGTACGATCTGCTATGGGAACAGTGTATTAAGTTAGCCAATAGGACTTTTGTGGAAGGGTAATCTGATTATTATATACTGATCTCATTACTGTGTGTTAAACTATAGATGTTTATGAAATAAATATTTTATAGTAAAATATTTATAATGCTTTACTAGATTTTCTCAAGCTAAAAAGTGTACAAATGAAGGCAGAGCATTAATGCAGCTTGATTATCAACAATTTTTGAGCAAAGTGGAGAAACTTACAGATTTGAGACCAGTACCAGAACGAGAAATTGTTGAAGGATACGTAAAAGCTTACTATTTATCTGAGTCTGCAATTGAAGAATGGATCCGATCGCATAGGGTACAAATGTTAATGATACTTATTTTTAATTTCTTTAATTGGATAATTGTAAACAAGGTTTGTTTACAATCAAACTGTTTTTTTTTCTTTTCTTTTTTTTTTGAATCAAAATTATATACCAAATATTTTCAAGTCACTAATGGTTTATTTTTAGTAAATTTATATGAGAAATATTTCAATTTTTGCATCATCTACATTATTTATATGCAAATTAGCAAATGTACAAATTTCTGGAAGATTTGTAAAATTGTTAAATTAATAATTCTAAAAATTTGGCTTGCATTTCAGAAATTAGTATGCTTATTTCCACAGTCTGGAAAGAGCATTGCAATCTTTCATATTTAGCATTTCACAGTCTTGATGAAAAACCTTTAATCATTATAAGTATTTTTCTAGAAGTGAATATGTAAAAGTTTGGCATTTAAAATAATTCTTTGCTTATTCACTATGATTAATCAATTAATAACTTCTTTTGGACTTTCCATGCTCCATAACTATTTAAAATTTCTCATTCTTGTTACAATAATAATGCAGTTGCTAATACATTAAATCTGATTATTATTCATTGCAGGAATATACTAGCAAACAGTTAATAGGAGTTGTAAATTGTGTGACGCAGATCAATAAAAAAGGACGCCAAAAGCTCATAAGCATCATCGAAGAGGAGAGAGTAAAAAGATGAAGTCCATCCGACGGTTTATAAACAAAATTGTCTGATCGTCGAATAACATGACGTCCACACACATTGTACATTACTCATTTCTGTAATTTATGAATTAATCTCCAGTCATTCCATGATTTTATAAAGTGCAATTTAATCAAAACAATAATAATGAAAAATTATTATAAAATTGACAAATAATAAACTGAAATACAAACTTAACATTATTTATCAATATTTTTAGCAGTGTTTGTGGATCTGGTTTTATAAAATCTGTGATATTTTGAATTGAAATAGAGAGTAATTAAAGAATATAATTTATATTTGGATATATTATTCAACAAACATTTCTTTATTTACCATTTAGTAAATAAATCATATTACTGTTATTTTCTTAGATATTTTAACAATTCATGTATATATAGTGTATAATTGTTGGTTCTATGCATTGTAATCAGTCAAAAATATAAATAAATTTCTGAAATGTTGATAAATTTTGGATGCCTCTCTGAATTTTTCATAAAATATTAATTTATACTTGAAAGTAGATATGTAAAAGCTTTATTAATATTACAAATATTGATTCAAAAGGTATTTCATTTGGCAAATGTAAAAAATTTTCTATTATGGAAATTCTGTAAAATGATTCTTATTCTCCTGGTGCACCTTAAATTCAGATGACACTTAATGCGAAATCAAATACTAACTATAAAGCTGGCTCTACACTTTTGGTATTTGCCAAGTGCCAAATAATTGCCTATCTGTTTCTCTTTGATTCAACATGCACACTACTCCAGCTCATAGGATTGTCTTGGAAGAGGGACTGATTCCTCCAATCTCCAGGATGCCATTTTCACATTGTACTAGGTCTGCACCTAACTCCCACTTAAATCATTTTATAGCTTTTTCTTAAAATTTTTATTTATTTATTGTATTTCCTTTTCTATGTTCAAAAAGTGTAACGTTTTAATATTTTTCAGAAATTGTGTTTCAAAAAAGAAAATCTTTAGCTTTTTGAAGTTTTTTCCAATCATTCTTTTAAAAAAAATAGCCAAGTTGTAACCAAGCTTAAAATAAAGTAAGCAAAAGTACTCTTAATATAAAAAGCTTATAAATTAATGTATGACACAGAACAGCTAATATAGTTGTTTACAACATCATGTTTCAAAATATTTATTTTAACTTGTAATTTGTTTTTGTAGCTACCATTGACAAAAAACAAAATATCTTGGGCCATGCAGATATCAAGTCCATCTTAGCAAGCTTTTTCTTCCTTGTTGGATTTGATATGGATAAATTTTGAGGTTGAAAGACTACTGCAGAGCTTTGTCAGGTAATAGATAAATTAAGTTTTATTTTTAAACACACACATCAATTTGCTGAAAGCTTTAAAAGTGTATTAAGGAAATATGGTAGCCAGTTATAAATTCACTCAAAGGTGAAAATGGGATACTAATTTTATAAAATGAGGAAAACTTTTCAATAGAGTAATAAAGCCAATGAAAAATACCTTTTGTAATATTGTAGAAACAAACTGCTTGAAATATCTTGATATTTCAAAATGATCTTGATTAAATTTATAAGTTTTCAAAAGGGGTAAAAACAGAGTGAGCAATGATCCATCTGCCTTTTAATTTAGAAATATTTAAGACGTCTTTTTTGTAAATAATGAAATTGTCACAAAACATAATTGTGGAATTAATCACTGTTGCAACATAGGGTATGTTTGTAAAGTTGGAAGAGTTAAACAAGGATGATGACATAATTAGTCTTTCTTTCGTTAGACATTTTGACTGATTCATTTACAACAGAATGGCTGTTTCTAAAATCAAATCAATCACTGTGCAGAATTATTGAAAATATTTTTCTTAGATTGCTTCAGATGGGACAGTTATATCGTTTCATGTTTAATCCACAATTTAAACATAGATAATGACCAGATGACCGAGCGGTCAAGGTGGCAGCCTACTGCTCTGGGGGACCCGGGGTTGAAAAATTCCCAAAAGGTTTTCGGGGTGATCTGTCCGGATATGTCTGCCCCCGTCCCATAATGGGATTGATAAAAAGAGGCCCTCTTAATACACACAAGGTGGAAACAGTTAAAAAAAAAATTCACATCATGGTTGAAAAACTGCACTCAACAGATGCACTTGTAGATAGTACCATAAAAATTAATGATATTAAATCATATAATTCTTTTAGTACATCTTTGTTTGGATCATCATTAATTATAATATTTTTTATGTCTAAGAATGACTTGCCAATATAGTCTGGACATGAATAAAAATACAGTCAGTTCTGCTTTATTGGGCCACATCTCAAAGAACAGAAACCAAAATAATAAATTAATACATAATTTAATTGCTTAATTGGGATAGTAGCAGAACAGAATTTAGCAATTTTTCATATACAGTAGAGCGTCGTTTATCCAAATCAATTGGGGACTGGGGTTGTTTGGATAACCGATTATGTACGAAAAAAATATATTAACCTATCCCATGTTGAAATTTTTCTCTGTTGTGTCGCTTCGTGCTGAATTTTTGTCAATGTTAAGCCTAATGTAAACTTTTTAAAATAATAATCATGGCTATTGTATCGTTAAAAATTATTTCTTTATTTTTTACAAACGAAATAAATATATTTAAAAATATAAAAACAAAATAATTATACTTTAGAAGTTAATCTAGTATCAAAAACGTTCGATTCAGCATGACACACAGTCCTCAGAAAAACACCACACAAAAGTGCCAGGGCTGCCAGCTAAAACACACACATCAACAAAAAAATATTGAAGTAATCCAAGATATAGCCAAAGATTGCAGTGCCACAGCACTAGCAAAAATTTAAATTTGCTTACTGGAATTCTTTCGGATAAATGACGTTTCGGATAAACGACGCTCTACTGTATTTTAGGGATCTTTCAAAAATATGTAGACACTACATCAGTGTTTCTCAACAGGGGCGATATCGCCCCCATGTGGGTGTTTTTCCATGTTGAGGGGGGCGATTAGTAACAATTTATATTTTGGGGGCAAAAAAACAATTTTCTAGGCGATATAGTAAAACATTATATTAAGAATAATTAGATATTTTATTCGTTATATCGTACAATAATTAAACAAATAACATTATCTTAGTCACTAGTCTATTCAATTCACTGCGAATTTGGAGAGCCTTGTCCCTCGGCATCGGAATTTTGAAGTGAAGGAGCGATACTACGTAACGGTTTTATTGAAGGGGGCGACGATTAGTTAGAGGTTGAGAAACACTGCACTACATGCACTAATGTTGTGTAGTCCTAATGGTTGGCAGAGACAAAGCGATTTTGTCTTTTGCTTGGGCAGTTCAGTTTTTCCGGAGGAGGTCAGCATAGTGGGAAATATCACACGGGGATTAGTAGCTTGCATTCAGGTCTGTATGAGGCAGACATGAATGCGAGCTACTGACCCTGCTCTGGATTGGACCAGATGATCTTAAAAGCGAAGGGACAAAGATCCCCAGATAATTTTTTGAGGTCTCTGGACTGAGTTGGAAGACAGAGTTCCCTTGGAAGGTATTGTGTGCATGATTACATCTAGATTTGGACAGCAGCCATCCAATTGTTGAGACCAGCATCCAGAGCTGGCGGATTCTCTGGATGCTCCTGCCAAAATGGCCCATCTTCAAGTAAAAGAAACTGTGCTCAAAGGAAAGACAGTGACTTTTGGATGAACCCTTTCCTTTCTCCCTTCTTAGAACATGTTCTAACTAAAAAGGGAGAAAGGAAAAATCGTTCAATCAGTAACAAATCAAATGGTCAACCCTTGTATACATCACTACTAATACTGTATTTGGTAACACTAGCATGATGCAAATCAGTTATCTATCATCTTGAGTCTGGTAAATTTATAGTACAAATATTTTCTGTATTTTGGTTTAATAAAGCATTAAAATAGGTACCTAATTATTATTTTTTAACTATTTATTTACCTACATGTTACATACATTATTTTAGAATTTATTATTAGTTCGTTTAATTGGGCCAAAATGGATTAGTCCCAACGTGTCCCAATTAAACAAAATCAACTGTATTGCAATTCATTAGGTAATTTAGATAAATCAAAAAATTGTCCATAAAATTTACTTTGGAAAATTGTTTTTTATATTTAATATTATTAACACCTAAAAGATAAAAATTCTAAAGATTTTGTCTGAAAATCTGTCAATACAATTTTGTATCAATGTATCCATTATTTCATAAAACAGACATTTATATGACTCCTTTTTAGACCTAGTATCAACATGTTTTATTTGTTTTTTTTTTTTTGGTTGAATTTCTGAAAAATTTTTATCTTCCATAAAAAGTCAATAAATTGATTNTTGCGACTTTTCGTATTTTAGCCGTATTTGCTAGCACTTTCAATAGCTTTTTAAAAGTTAAAAAAAAAATCTGTCAATACAATTTTGTATCAATGTATCCTTTATTTCATAAAACAGATATTTATATAATTCCTTTTTAGAACCAATATCAGTATGTCTCATTTGTTTTTTTGGTTGAATTTCTAAAAAATTTTCATCTTTTTTCAAAGCATCCCAAATCAAATCAAAATCATTTCTTTTATGTCATAAAAAGTCAATAAACTGATTTATTATAGTAATACAATATGCTGTATTAAAAAAACATATTGTAATATATCAAATAAGATATCTGACTGTGCAAATATTTGATGAAAACTAATAATAAAAAGTGGAAATCAAAATTTATTAAATAATGGTATAATCCTCTTGCAGCAATTGTTGTATCAACCATATTCAACAACAAAAGTTTTAATTCTTGTTTATACTCCATAGTGCAGTTTACAATCCTGCTTTTGTAATTCCATCTAATAGGTGTGGTTGAAGGAAAATGTTTTTTGACTTCTAGGTCTAAGGTGCGAGATCTTTTAGAAGATTTAGAAAAAAAATGAAGAAAATCCTGTCATAGTTCGAAAAAATATTTTATATTCTTTTATATATCCAACAGATTGAGAGAAAACTAGATTCGAAAATAGTATACGAAAATAGCATGTTTCACTATTTCTTTAGAAGTACAAAAGAATCTAATAATTGTTATTTTTTGCCCGGGCAAACACTGGGCTCATCTGCTAGTTTTTATCTTTATTAAAAAATTTGGCATATTATACGGGAACAAACTCTATTTGTAACAATAACATAAAAATGAATCTTTTCAACAAACATAAACAACTTTGTTTGATTATTTTATTGTGGCATAAAATCAATTAAATACATAATTTGGCAGACAAAAAAAATTTTAGATCTTTTAACAATCCTATGTACATAATTATTCCAGACAAATCATCAGGGGAACGAAAATCCTTTACATAAATAAAAAGTTATTGACTAGTTTTACAATTTTAATTTTTTCAAATAGAAAAATATTTTATATATATTGATTTTAAATAAAATTAAAAATAAAATTTATACAAATCATCATCTTTTGCTTTAACTTGATGATAACAATTTTAATTTTCATCATATACAAAATTTAATTTTATCAAAATACAGTTAATGAGATCTAAAATCTTTATACAAATTTCACAAGAACATTGTGATAAGCATTTTCAAATCTGTCATCGATTTCAATAAATATTGCATTGCCAACAGTTGTAAGAAGTTTTTGTTTTTTTTTTTTTTTAGCTTTTATAAAAATATATATATATTTATCATCATCATAAATTTTATAAAAATATGCAGGATTACTTATAAAGTGATATGTTTGTTGTCTTTTGATCAGAAAATACCCAAATATCTATTGGTAACAAAGTATGCACAAAAATGTTTTTGATGATAATTTGTTTGCTAGATTCCAGTTTCTTGACATACTGAAATTATTCGTTGAAATTTGTGAAACATACACTCATATTTTTTATGAAACAAAAGTTTAAATTTCTTTTCTACAAACTGTTTTTGTGGCATTTTGTAATTTACTCCATTATTGACCAATTAAATGTAAAGTTTACAGTCTGCCAGAAGAGATTTTGTTCTCTAATGGCACCATGTGGTGGTCTGTAAGTGCATTTTTTATTAGTAAATACACACTGCAATTAAATTTTATTAACTGATTATTTTTGTTATTTAAATTGGTTAAAAAGTGAAATCCCAAACGAAAGGCACTTCTCAAATGAAACATAAAATCTTTTCAAATAACACTTGTGTAGAAAAGAGTTATACAAAAGTGCATTTTTGAAAGTTCTCAAATTGCAATATTTTGGATGGAGATTCATTTTTTGTTGCCAGAATCTGTAGAAGAGAACACATTGAGCACTTGTTTTTTGTATTCTCTTAGAACATACAATTTACAGTCCTTTGTGTCCAGATTCTAAAATATTGAATAGTTTTGTAATAGAGAACTCAAATATTTAACAATAATCTATAGAATAAACTTGCAATTACTATTCTAAAATGCCTTCAGTTACCTATTTAATATCATTACATACAATGTTATTTCAAATTACTTCAGCAAGTGTATCATGTTGAGTTTTGAATCAAATTTTATTTGACAAGAAATCATTATATTTTTAATACTCAAATTAGAATAGTGTCAAAATAAAGTGAAATAGTATTTACTCTCAAAAGTTTTTTTGATTACTTTGATAATAAATTTTCTATTGAATTTAGTTATGGCTGAAAACAGGGCTATCATTTTTATAAGTAAAAATTCTAAATATAAAACAAATAATTATTCCAAGGTAAAAAATATTACTCATGTTCTCCACAAAATCATCTTGGAAAACATTTCACTTGAGATATTTTTCTTACAGGAAAATATTTGTAAATCATGTATATATTATAATAAATATTGTTCTAGTTTTTTTAAATGTATAGAAAATGTTTAAAAATCTTAGGATATTTGTGTTTGTTTAAACACAATCCTCGTGACTTTTTATATTTGACAAAAAATTGTCATTGACAATTTTTATATAACAAACACACACACACATATATATATAACAAATATTTTCTGTATATATAGTAAAAAGTATTTTTGTATTTTATAATATGTAAATTTGTATGAAATTGATTTGCCATTTAATTAATAGATTATAATGTGTAAAGAGAGATTCGTGTTTTTGCAGTAAGATGCTTTATAACATTAACAGGAACAGATTTTGCATATGCTGATATGCTGTCCTGTGTGACGAGATGTGCCCGAATGTCGAATGTGTGAAACTTGTATCGAGTGGCGTATCCTCGTAACTGTACAGATAATGATAAAATTGCATAAGAATCCAATCCAGTAGGAATGTAGGATCTGCAGATTTACATGTGAACTGAAGCAGAATAACGGCTTTCCTCGCTCTTCCAGTGCCACTGACTGGGTCGATACTGTACAAAAAATAGTTGATTTTGAAACAAAAATTTTGCTTTAAAAATTTAATTTTTATGACAATACCTTGATTAAAAATTGCCCAGATGATGAATGTGGATGCTTGTAAGCATAAAACAACCATATTCCAATACCTACAATCAAAACAATAACTAAAATGATAGCAAATACACCACCTGCTCCAATTCCAGTCTGTTTAGTTTCTTCTACTGATACTATAATATACATACATAATTTTTAAAAATTTTATATAAATTTTTAATTAATTAATAATTATTATTATGCATACCTTTTGATGATGCTTTCATGCCATCATAAACCGAAGGAATAGTATTATGATCTTCTGGAGGTCTCAAACTCGAGAAAGAAGACCACGTGACGGCCGTACTACTAGGTGATTTACTTGATATAGTCTGACTAATGTCAGATGATGATGCTGATGATGTCTCCAACTGGTTAGAAGTTGAGACCAAAGTTGTAGGATTGGAAATTTTTGGGACCATGGTAGAAGTATCCATTGAATTTGATGTTTTGGATATTGTGACTAATGATGATAATGGATTGTTTTACATTATTATGAAAATAGAATTTAAAAAATTTATAACTGTTTACCTGTAGATGGAGTCATTTCCACTCCTTTAGGACAGGCCGATTGGTTTTTCTAGAAAATATTTTTAAAATATTTAAATTTTTTCAATCTCATCATCATATTTTTTTTATACGTACATGAGAAATGCAATTGAACTGTAGCCATTCCTGCCTGTTCCGATCCAGTCCGTCTGAACATTTTTTATTGGTTTCACACCAAATGCAGTCGAATCCAATTTGACTCGATTCGCAAGAAACACAATCCTTGAATTTTAAACAAGCTGAAAATAATTTTTTTTTGGAATTGTTTAATTCTAATGTTCCTTTTTACAAGTTTATTATTCTAGCAAACTTTAATGCATTGACTGGTTTTATTAGAATAGGACAAAGAATAGTAGCTATAACGTATAATTAATTTTTTTTATGTTTAATTTGATAATATTTGTTGGTAATTGGAAAAAATTCTATTGACAATAATAATGAAAAAATGTTTTTGAAAGGCAAACCAATGTTTGCTTTTCAAAAACAATCCTAACACTCCTGCCATAGAATCCTAACACTCGTGTGCCAAATCGAACAAGCCTTATTTGTAAAAACCATTTGAAGCTCAAATTTAAATTTAGAATGGAATCTTGTGAAAGTGGGTTTGGTCAAGAATAAAGGAAATGGCCAAACTTAGAGGTAGAATAATGCAATTTTGAGTTCAAAATAAACAATGACAACTAATTACAAGTTTGGTAATGCCCTCAAATTTTTATAGTTTCTGTAGGACACAGAACTTCTGGAAAGCCAGAAGATAGAGGATAGAACTATGGAGTAGATGGAGAATTTTGATTTAGGCTTAAAAAAAAATCACAAATTTGTCTTAATAATGAGACAGTTAATCGATGACTGAAGTAAATGGCACGTTCAAAAATTTAAGTGTCAAGTTATCCTTGCAGTGTTTTTAGGAAAGTAAATTCTCAATCTAACAGACTAATCGGGGAAAGATGTATCCCCTATTGCCAGAAGTTCATTGAATGCATATATTAATCTAATAACAAATTTAAAACAATATTGTAACATACTGTACACTGAATAATTTATAGACTATTCTAGAAGTGGTGTGTATATGTGAATAAAAAATCAAGTTCTAAAAAATTTTTGTCAGTATGATGGGCCAATAGGATTCTCAAGACCACAAATAAGTCTATTTTCTTATATTTATACAGTCAAAACTTAAGAAATCTGATAATCTTAGTCATAGAAGGGTAATACTACATTCACACATGACTCACTTCGATCTCGATTTACCTACAATCTGGATTGTGACTGTTACCAGTCAAATGTAGTGCTGTTCACACAGGCAGTCCACTTGAGAAGAGCCTGGCTATTACACGCAATGATAAAACTGACCATAACGATGTGATAAGTCACGAACACCAACAAACAAAATGGAAGTTTTTATTAGAAATAAATATAGTACTTTTTCTTGCCATATATCTAATAATAGACAGATGTCATCGTCACTCCAAATATAGTATCTTTATTTCTCTGTTGATAGTCCGACATGTGTTCTGCAGCCATCTTGTATTTTCTCGCGCATGTGGGATTGTGGGATCTGTCTTATGACTGGATCTAGTTTCAAGAACTTTCTTGAGTCAATCGCAACTGAACCTCATTTCAGTTGAGATTGAAACGGTCGAGAGAGGTCACACCAAGGCATAGTCAGACCTTGGTCACAATCTATTGATAGATTGAAATGCTTTGTATGAATGAGGTATAACTTATTGACAAAATATCAAACTAGCAGAAGAATTCGAAAAGCAATATTTTTGATATTTCCTTTTTTCACATAAATGCAATTGCTGATAATATTTTTTTTACTCTAGTTTATGTAATTTTTTTTTTTATTACAGTAGAGTCCCACAAACTTGACTTTGCCAAACTCTCAGTCTACATTAATGAGTTACTGAAAATGACAAGTTTTATGGCATAACAATGATGTTAATTTAAATATTACACCTTTATGAAAATTCTGCTATGTGCAAATTCATATACATATTAACTATGTACCAATAGTGACTATTTCTACTTGTAATTAAAATTTAATTTAAAAAAATATTGGCTTTTCTTGTCATGATGTTTTAAAGTGGCATGTTGGAAAAAGGGTTATATTCTTTGTTAATGCATGGAACTGATGCTATTATTGAATGTTAACAGTGATGAACAATAACTTAAAAATACACACAATAGGTAAAAATTGGATTATCATGCTGTCTAAATAAGATCTTGTAATTCAATTTTTCAGTCACTTCCCATTAAATGCTAAACCAAGAATTTTGATAATTCAATGTTCCACATATGGAAATAAAATGTGTTTAATGTAAATGCCACTAAAAAAATTGAAAAAATTTTTTTTAAATTTTAGTATTCAGTATTCTTCATTATAACAAAAATAAAAGCATGGGGCATTCATGGGAAGCTCATAAAAATTGATAGAGAGTGTAACTAAGAATATTTCTAAACACAAGCATTTTACACTTTTATTTTTGGTCACTTAATATCAAGAATACTGTGAAAGTTGAAAAAATGATAATTTTTTTGATTTTTAGTGCATTTATTTGAATGCCTATAATATGTAAATGAAAATATTTTTTAACTTTTAAAAAATGCTTTTTATTCAGATAAATGCACTAAAAAGTAAAAAATTTATCTGAATAAAAAGCATTTTTTTAAAATGTGTTTTAAAACTGATATGAAGACTGTTGAAAATGTTTTTAATCAGTTTTAAAGCACATTACAGAGCATGTTCAATGTGGTGTCCACCATTTTTGATAAGCAAGTTACATTGCATTACTGTGTTATCAACAGTAGCTCTTAGCATATCGGAAGTAACTCCATAAACAGTTTCATTTTAAAACCAATTAAAAACATTTTCAATGATGTCTTCATGTCTTATTTCATTTAACAATATTGCAGACAGCACATTTCCCGTTGGTGGTGAGTTTTTGAACGTTTTTTTTCATGGGAAATAAAATCCCATGACATCCTGTACACTATTATCAAGTTTGATAACATTCTGTCCAGTAGTTTTCATTTTATGGCTATTTCAAAGTGGAACTTTAATTATAAACACCCTGTATACTACTATTCTATTTAAATATTAAATATATTTAACATATTAGAGTATAAATAAAACTTTTTGGCTATAGTTCAAATGCTATCATCCCAAGTAATGCTTATGACAATGTTGCTAAAGGCCTTCCTATTGATCAAATTTTTACCATTCTGCTTTCTGCGATGGCAAAAGTTGAAAATTTTCAACTTCATATTCCATCAGCTTTGATGGCAAAAGTGACATCATTTTGCCATTCTGGCAACAGTTTCCATTGTTATTTTCTGCATGTGAGTACCAGGATTTACATTTTCTATCAATTTATATGGGCTTCCCATGAGTACCCATGCTTTTAATTTTTGGTTGCAGTTGCATAATAGAGAACATTGAATGTTGTGAAAGAATTTATTTTTAAAAATATAAAACAATTTTTTCAGATGAAGGAACAACTTTATTCAATAATGTACAAACCATTTTGGACAACTCCATAATTTCTTGCTCAAAAAGCTTCCTGTCTTTCTTGGCAAAAAAAACTTTCTTAGCAAGGCATCAAATGGCACTTGAAACAAAGCACTGTTCATTTAAAGAATTGAAGAGCATGAAACAGTGAATATCAGAAGAGGCAATATAGAGGATATAACAATACCCCAGCCCAGCTCTAATAATTTTTGCCATGCAGATATCAGATGTCATTCATCTTTGTGATGAGTGAAGTCAGGTATTGTGTTAGAAGATGATGCCCTTCTGGTATGCCAATTCCGGATGCTTCTCATGGATAGCTGCATTCAATTTGTCAATTTGGATGTGTACTGTTATTCAGAAACAATCTGTAGATCACAATACCCTTCCAGTCCCATCAAATTAAGGGCATGATCTTGTTTGGATGAAGACCTTGCCTTTGAAGTGGTTTGCTACACAGCCCCTATGATTGTTTACAATCAACACTTAAGCATGATCCATTTTTTCATTGCCTGTTATCACCCATTTCAGAAATGGATCTCGCTCTGGTTTTCTTGAATTGCTTACGGAAATGTGTTCTAGGAGATTTGCTTCAGTCAACTTTAGTAGGCTCGATGTTTGAGTTTTGCATATGTAGCCAAGTTAAGGCAAAGATTTTCCACACTCAATTTTTGGAGAATGCCTGAAATCTCTCATGCTGCTTAGTGTGAATTGATGTTGATCTTTTGTGGCCAGCCCAAGCACAGTGTATCTTTGACAGAAAAATCTAAAGAATGAAATCTCAAAAACCACTTCTGGTGCACACATTCTTTCAAGGTATCCTTGTAATACACTGCACATGTCTTTTTATATATTTGCATTGTTTTTTGCTTTTTTTTAAAATAAAAAAAAGCATATGTCAAAAATGCTCATTTTGCTTATCCATCATTCAATTGACAAAACACAACCAATTTTTTCAAGTGTAATGTCAATTTCAAATGGTTACAAGATTTTCAAAATTTTGACTGAAATTTGTTGCTGTCAATCAACAAAAACTGCACACACTTATTGGTCAACCCTACAGTTTGTGTGAAGCTATTTGGTTATCAGTTGCAAATATCAAAAAATAACATTTTCCTTTTTCCATTAATAAATACATAATTTTGCTGCAAAGAGGAAAAGATAACTAAATTATATTTTGATATTATTATGTAAATGTAAATTACAAACATTTAGCACAAACAGTCTACTCGAAGTGATGTGTTGTAGTTTCATGTATATGGCATTTCCTACAAGTATCATTGTAAGCATTGTTTCTTTTAAAATGTGCTTTCCTGTACTTTCTTATACAGTAATCATGAACCAAAAGCACCCAAAAGTCAGCTGGCAGTTTAATGCAATTCTGTTGTTATAATCTTGGCTGAGATCATTAGGGTACCTACTGTGGAGCTGCTTTTGAGCCAAAAAATTGGAAAATTGTTCATCATGTGTTTATTTCAATATAGCATGATTGTTCTGTTGTTCTTCCTTGATCAAGCTTGCAACATCATGTGATTGGATTGCTTGATCATGTGATTGGATTGCTTGATCAAGCTTGCAACATCATGTGAGGAGGATAAATCCTGTAAATTTACACACAGATTTAAGAATCATTTACTATAGTGTTAGTGTTTCCATTGATGCATGTGAAGCTATGTACAGTACATTTCCATGAATGACTACCGTTGAAGTATTATCGATGAGCATCTGATTTTCTGTGTAATCTAATGTGAACAAGTATCTGTTCTGCAATGTGTTGTTGTGGAATAAGGTTATTGTGTATTGTTCTTTTCTGATCAGCAATCCTTTGCTTTGTAACCATGAAATGTGGGTATTTCTCTGTGAATTTGTCTGTCAGTCTATGTTGTCATAGTTGTTTCTAATTTTGTAATGATGTAGTAGATATGGGTAACAAAATTCCTTCATTTTCTGTAATAGTAATATTATTTCTGTTCAGGGCCATATATTTTGTCTTAAACAAACTAGACCAAAACATTATTATTGTCCCCTTCTCAAGGGTTGATGCATTTGCAATAAGATCTTCTCTTATCTACTACCAGAACAGCAGCAGCAATTGAAAATGACATCCTTATTTAACTGTTTGGAAAAAGTGAAGAAGAAAGTAAAGGGATAGTGTACCATCCCATTTAAGGTCTGTTTTAGTTCCAAAACAGCTAGAATTTGTAATGCAGAATTTAACATAGTGCTTTGATCAGCCTTACAGGTACAATTTCTTTTCAATTACTAACATTAGAAAAATCAAAGGCAAAATCTAAAATCATCAGTATTCAATTAGTTTGGTCTTAGATATCTTAGAAACTACATAATTATTTCTACAAAATTTATTCTAAAGACTTACTTGGTAAAGCTTTAAAATAGAGAACAGTATCATTGCTAATATCCAAATGCTTCAAATCAGTCTTATGATATTCATAAATAATCTTTTTTCGAAAAACTAAAAGTATATTACAAATATAAATTTAATAGCAATTCAATAAAATACAATATTTTAATGAAATTTTCTTACAATATGACGTTCGTTCTAAAACATATGCATCTGATATTCCTATCTTCACAGGATGAGATTCATTTGATATTTCAGTGATTGGAAATGGAATCTGAAAGTTCATACATTATAATGTATTCCATAATTATAGAACAAGGTGTTATTAAAGATATGACCAAAAAAAAATACAAGACAAAAATATTTTATTTAAATGATCTAATTTAAGAATAAAAATCAGTTCACTGATAATAAAAATAATTTAGATTGACTGGCATAAAAAGTTGGAAACATTTTATTCTTTTATTTTATTCTATTTGATAAATATGAAAATATGTCCCTGTATTAACTTTTGGTCCTTATTCTTTAATTGTATACACCCTATAATTTACAAAATGAAGAGAAAAGAAAATTACATTTTTATATACAAAAGCAATATCACCATTTCTATATAATATAGTTTCAAATTTAAATGATCCACCTCCGCCAACTAAAATAGAAATGTGCAATTTATTATTCTAGAAATAAAATATTCATGTAATAAATTTCATGAAATGAACCTTCAGATGCTTTTTCTTTGAGAATAACATTATCCCAGAGCACAGTAAATGCTGTTCCTGCAAAGAAAATATTTATGATTAATAGATAATATATTTTTTTAAATATCAAATATTAATTTAATACTTGAAAATTCTGAATACAAACAATTCTTGTAGATTAAAGGAAATTTTAATATTCATACAAATATAAGTAGTTTTCTGGTTAAACAATAATGCAAAAATTCCATTTTGTGTTTAACATATATATTATTTTAATTTCCACAGTATCTACAATAAGGACCCTCCAACATTTAAGACTATCAAGTAGTGTGTTGAAAAAAGCACATTGGCATAAATCAAAGATCTTTTGAAATAAGTTTCCATAAGTCAGTCATATAAGCAAAAATAGAACTTGGAATGTGTTTGAATCGGTTGGCAGTTCATAAAATATCTTTACCATTGATTACACTTCATGCTTATAAGGTATTGATTTTGCAATAAATCTGATTTTCATTTTGTTTAGTCATCAAATTTTTACAATTGCAATGCAGGAATGCATTGCTGGTGATGAAAACTTATTGCACAATGTTTACAGACAGGGAAAGGAAAAGGAATTTGTATAATGTGAGAATTTGGGAAACTTTAAAAATCGGCATGAAGTCAAAGTATATGCATTTTTATGGTTGCAGATTAATAAAATATTTTATTTTTAATATTATATAATATTAATTAGTTATATAACTGTTAATTAGAAAAATAAACTGGAGAACCAATAGTACATGTGCATAGTAAGTCAAATGCAGATGTCTTCTATATATGCCATGCTTCTGCATGGCATATATACAAGAGCAATCTAGCAGGACTGGCTATAAACTTTATAGGATCCTCTAAAGTCTCAGTGCATTAATGCAGTGCATAAAGCAGGTGCATTATGAATATATCAGCAAGGGAAAAAAAGGCATGGACAGTTAATATAACTACTAATGTGTATTTTTTTTATCATTTGTTTATCTATCTATCTATCTATCTATCTACTTTTTATTTTTATGTGGTATAGTTAGCGTATTCGTATATTTGTATGTTATCAGTCTGTAGATTTTATTTATCTGTTCACAGACTTGTGCACTAGACGTTAAAAAAGTTCTAAAATTAAAAACGTTCCATAATTGGTTTTATTCAGTATAAACTGAAAATTTTTTTTGATTCATTCCTGATGAAGGTCAATTAATTGACCAAAAAGTTACATGCTATAATAAAATAGACTGCATTTTATAGGTCAACTAAACAACGATCTACAATTAACCAGTAACCAGTGTGAAATTCTTTAAAAATCAGCGAACATTTTCGATTCCCCTTCTGGGATCTTCTTCAGGCTTATTTTTATACCTTCCTTTATAACTGGATTCTTTAATTGGAATGTTTTTAAAAATTTGAAACGTGCCATTTTCTGAAAAAATTTTTCGAAAGTGGAAGGAATCCACGTGCTATTTCAACTATAATTTTCTACCAATGGGGATTCGTTGTGTGCAATACCTCATATAAATTTATCGTATAACATATATTATGATTTATCGTCAATTAAAAATTGCTATGCTGCAGAGAGATTTATTTCTTCTTTAAAATTAATGCATGCAGATTTGCGATTGGTTTAAAGATTTCCACTGCCTCCAACGAATCCCCATTGGTAGAAAATTATACTTGAAATAGCACGTGGATTCCTTCCACTTTCAAAAAATTTTTTTGGAAAATGGCATGTTTCAAATTTTTAAAAACATTCGAATTAAAGAATCCAGTTATAAAGGAAGGTATAAAAATAAGCCTGAAGAAGATCCCAGGAGGGGAATCAAAAACGTTCGCCGATTTTTAAAGAATTTCATGCCAGTTACTGGTTAATTGTAGATCATTGTTTAGTTGAAGTATATACAACCCGGTGTGGTGAGAAACAGCATTTTATAGGTTTGTAAGGTTAGTTATTTGTAAGTTTTGTAAAAAGTTTGTAAGATTTGTAAGTAATAGTTGGTTATTTACAATATATAACTTTGCACTTGGTGCAAGATTAAAGGGAATGCAAGGTAACAAGCACACACAAAAATAAAGTAAAATTGGATGAATCCTACAGTGGAATAGCATTAAAAATTATCTTTATTAATAGGGTTGAGGTGTTAAGATTTTTTAACCATAGTAGAAAAGAAATAATCTTGCATTATTGAACTTTCACCATATTTTACTATTATCATTATATTCTTGGAAACTTAAAGAATTCTCATAAAAATTTTTATGCAGGAATACAATAATCTAGCAATGAATTTAAGTAAATCTTTGATTTAAAATAATAATTTTAGTATAATATTCTTCCTTATTAGTATTATTGAAATTACAAAAAACATACCATTGTCATAATACCTAATTAAAGAAGTATTACTGATGCTTGGATCAAAATTAGCCATCAACGGAGCAATGTATTGAGTTGCTGCAATCCAACTGTGAATATGATCACCCGTATAGAGAAATCCTGTAGAAAACACACAATTATTTTTACTTGTAATATATATGTATATAAATTAATAGTTTTTTTATGCTGATTCATTTATACTAATTTATATCTTTTGTCAAAAGCATATATGAAAATTTTAAATAAACAGATGCAGAACTGTAGGTTAAAAACCATTAACAAAGTATATAAATTTAAGTTTGAAATGATTACTTTAAATATTCATACTATTGGACAGTATGTGTATTATCTATGTTAAATATCATGTATAAAAAAAACAAACTAGTTTGTGTAAACAACAAAATTCCAAGTATGAGTAATACATTATTTTATTCTTCAAATTACATAGAAGTTTACTTTTACTAACTTTTGCATAAACAGCTGAAAACTTAAACATGTTGAATTAAATACTTCTAGAAAAAAGTTTATTTGTAACTTTTATGTTAACATTATTATTTATAAAGAATTGGTTGAATGATTACCATTCTTTCTTCACTATATGTTAATTCAATCATTTTTGTCTTTATGACCTCAAAATGGATATAATTATTTTGATAATGCTTTTATTTTTATCAAATATAGGTTGACATTACAGAAATGAGTGATGAGTGATTATGTATCTGAATTGCATTCAATAATTTGCATTACTTTTTCCATTTAACATTTATTTTACTCTTTAATTACAAAATGTGTTCAAGTAGTTCCAGAAATGAATCAAAAGATGTATTTAAGATTATTCAAAATCATCTTGGGTTTTGAACAATCTTTTCTCCAATTCAGGAAACATTTAGAAAAATCAGCTTTTCTCAGAAATTCCAAAATTTTCTTCAATTTGTCTTTTATGAGTTCTGTTGACTCAAATTGTTGTCTTTGATGGTCAGATGGCCAAGACATTGGCCTACCACTCTGGGGACTCAAGATCAAATCTGAGAAAGTAACCTTGAGAATTTTTTGTGGATGGTCTGTGCCCGATACAGAGTGCAGTCTTTCACCATCTGCTATAGAACAGGAATAAATTTTTGTTTTAAAGTTTAAACTGCTACTCTTCCTCAACCATCATATTCCCTGAACTAGCTCCTAAAGCCTTGTCTTTTTTCTTTACTAAAAAAAAAAAAAAACAAAAAAAAGAAGCCTAGGCCAACAGAACCTGAACAAGATGAATCAAAGAAACTTTCATGATTTCTAAAAGAAGCTGATTTTTTTTTAATAAGAAAGGTGAAAGGTGATAAACAAAAAAAAAAAAAAATAATAATAACAGCAATTGAGACAAACTATTCATTGCAGAATGTTAATAGATCAACAAAAATTTTTGTATTAACAACTTCACTTATCTTATGCACATATTTATGACACTATTTTATAATTACTTTAAATAAATTCATACCTCCAGTTGCTATTGTGATATTATTTAAGAAATGGCCATAAAATGGAAATGGAAAAGATAACTGCACAGCCTAAAATGAAAAAACTTTCAATTTAAATTTATTCTTAAACTTAAGAGTATAGATAACACTTAAAATTTTTAAATTTCTAAGGTCTGACATTTCTAATTTACTAAATTGACAGTTTGAATCATATTTATGATTAAAAATTGAAAAATGTAAAATTTGTAAGAGAATTTTTTATTTGGATAAAAAGATTATGGTTTCTGAATTATATGGCTTTGCTGATGATCAAAAAAGACTTCTTTATAGATGTTAATTGATATAAATATTAAAGTATACTGTTTATTTTATGAGAAAAATTTCATTCATCTTGGTACAGCTTACAATATAATAATTGGAATCAAAACTAAGAAGCAAATAAGAATATATTTTTGCATTTTCTTCCTGTCCAAACATTATAAGAATTCAATAAGAAATATTTTGAATTTCTATAAAGAATAAAGCAGTATTATTTTTAATAAGCTGGCAATGGCAATAAATATATTTAAAAATCACTAAAATAAATAAAAAGACAAATGTGAAGACATTTTTAATTTATTTTAAATTAAAAAGTAGCAATCACACTTTGTACGGAAAGAATAAAAAGAAATACTTTAATTTTAACTCTCTTTCACTACTGTATTATTATGTATTTATTAAATTTCTATACAACTTTTTTGTTATTTCTAATTTATTAAAAACAAGCATTAGTTTTTCATTGAAATCTACAATGCACTAATGGAACTTTGATGCTACTTATTTTTATTTCAAATAAAGTACAAAACTCATAAAAATTATTTATTGTGGTTGTCTTTTTTAAAGATGTCACATATTTTGCTTTGTTTTTGCAGTTTTTTTTAAAGTTTGTTTTGGGTAGCATTTCTAACCCATGTCTTAATGCTGTTTCATTGTGCATATGCACAGTGAGAATTTAATGATTCACAGGTTTCTAATGCTTCAATCATGTTTTTCTACTTGTACTGTAATAAATAAAACCTAACATTAGGCCAACAATGATTGGCTGCAACTTGAAAAAATTGTAAACCTATAAATTCCCACTGTCTTCCATCTGTCTTTCCTTAATCTTGAATTGTGGGTTTGCGCATGGCCAATGGACTGGCCATGTACAGTTTTCTTCACATTAAATTGGGGCCAGCTTTACATAAAAGTCTTGGGATGCTTCCTCCTCATCAGATTGCTCATGTATTGTATTGCAGTAACCAAATAAACCAAACCAATTCTAATAATTTTTCTATGAACACAATATTTACAAGGACATGCTTAACTACCATAAAACCTGGACACCCCACCATGTCCTGATTTCATCTCCTCTTATTAACTCATAAATCCATTGCCTCAAACTTCTTTCGATACTGCTTAAATTGTTCTAATATTCAGTCAAATTAATGTATGTGCAACAATTTTAAGGCATAAAGTAGAGCTGGAAAGTCTTTTTCTCTGCTCATGATTATTTTTCCTATTTATTATCATGGCAAAATTGTTTAATTCAAAATTTCTTGTAGTTATAGTCTTTGTAATGTGCACTTTATTCACATGTTGAGTCTTACTGTCAAATCTGCTTCCAGTATGCTTATGTCGCAACTTTCAAAAGTTTTCTTTACTTAGATGTTTTTGCTGAGCTTTACCTTTTCAAGCTGGTTTCACCAGATTTTTATGGGATCACATAAAAGCAATTATTCTTGCATTTTAGAAGATACTTTTATTTAAACAAGTCTTATATAAAGCCTTTCAAAGTTGCTAACCTTAACATTTAAGGTTAGCAACTTTGAAAGGCTTTATATAAGACTTTCACAGAAGGAGGTTGAAGTTAGTTCCACCAAAAGTAGTACAGTAGTTGGCCTCTTCCTGGGAGAGAGGATAGTCAACTACTACTACTACTACTTAATATTGGTCTACTGTTAATACATATTACAAAGTTGCTAACCTTAACATTTAAGGTTAGCAACTTTGAAAGGCTTTATATAAGACTTTCACAGAAGGAGGTTGAAGTTAGTTCCACCAAAAGTAGTACAGTAGTTGGCCTCTTCCTGGGAGAGAGGATAGTCAACTACTACTACTACTACTTAATATTGGTCTACTGTTAATACATATTACAAAGTTGCTAACCTTAACATTTAAGGTTAGCAACTTTGATCATCTGCAGGCCATCACAACTTATCCAGCATGGATCACTTTTCAAATATTAATAGTAGACCAATATTAAGTAGTAGTTGTTGACTATCCTCTCTCCCAGGAAGAGGCCAACTACTGTACTACTTTTGGTCGAACTAACTTCAACCTCCTTCTGTGACAGTCCCTTCTTCCTATCAGACCTATCAGTATGGTGGCATTCAAATATGAAGATAATACACAATACAAGGTTGCCAAGTTTAAACACTTGGTCAGTTTTTCACAATATCTCATATGCTGCCAGATTACCATTTGATATTTGGCTTTGCATGGTACAGTTTCTTAGAGTTAACAGTAGGAAAAATTATGATACCAATTGAAAAAATATCTTTAATTTTTTCAGATATCTGCTTGACCAATGAAATTGTGCCATTTAATACCATTTGAGTATCATGATAAACTTAGCAAAGGGAACTGAAATACTTTTTACTCTACCAACTATATGGTTTTTGTTTTAATGTTTGTTATAGTATAGTATTTGATTTACATAACTACAAAGAATAAAAAAGATTTTAGTCGAGACATAAGTACAGTGGAACCTCGATTATCCGGACTAATTTGGGATGAAGGTAGTCCGGATAAGGAAAAATTTGGATAATCAAAACAAATACTTTAATTTGTCTTTTAATGATAATACAACACATTTTCTTTTCGATGACATATCGGTAATATTAAAAGTAAATACTGTATTTAAATTGTGATCAAATTTTCAAGAAGCAAACGTTCGTATTGAATTTAGACTACTACTGACCAATGCTAACAGACTACCTATTGTTTAAAAGGCCCTCTGGTGGTGCAAGAAGATGGATTTTATAAAATAAAAAGCAGTTGAAACTGCATTTTTATGAATAAAAATTTGACAAACTATTTATAATTTTATGACGAGTAAAATTTTTTCGTCGCGTTCGCAGCTTTTAAGTAATGCATAAACCTTCGAAACATGAGGCATAGGCGGTGGCCCACTTTGCCTATGCCTTACGCTGCCCTTGGTCATAGAAATGATATAATTTGAAATAAAATTATTTATAAATACGTATGTCAAGTTATATTTTTATTACGACGCAAAATATATTTAAGAGTTTACGGCCACTGTGCCGGGTGAGACATTGTTGAAACAAAAAAAATTATGCATTCCATCAGGTACATAAACAGTATCGTAATTCGCCAAGTGCAAATCACAAATTCGTAAAATTTTTGTTTATTTTGAACAATCCGGATAATCGAGGTTCTACTGTATAAACTTAAAAAAAAAATTTTACAAATGAAATTTTCATTGAATGAACTGTAAAAGTGTCCTCCTCTTTTGTCATTGAATAAATTGTAAAAGTGTTATTTCCTGATGGTGTTTGAAGCGGTTGTCTCTTCAAACACCATCAGGAAATAACACTTTGAAAATTTCATTTGTAAATATTTTATTGGACAAATTGTAAAAGTTTATCTTAGATTGGTCACTTGTGTGATAAACCCTTATCTAACACATTTTAAAAATTCTTTAAATTGTATACAGTAGAGAAATAAAGAATTTTTAAAATGCATTAGATTGATCACTTGGTGTGATAAACTCTTAAGATAATCTTTATAGTATTTGATTCATATAACTACAATGTAATATAATAGAAGAGTTAGAAGTATGAAATAATCTAATAGATTATTTCATACTTCTAACCCTTCATACTTCTAATCTTAATCTTTGGTGGTGGTATTTTTTTGCCTGGGTAATGTCAGGCTCATCGGCTAGTTGATAAATAAATGAAACAATCCTATGGTAATTCAAAATTAGCCTAACTAGCATGGTTTAGTTTTGAGAAATTAATTTTCAGACTTTATAGAGTTGTTAATGATTAAATAATAATAATAATAGTTAATATTACCACTACGTGACTGTATAGTACATCTATTTGGATAATAAATTTATTAATTAACAATTGCAAAACATATCATAATGCAATAGTTCTGTGATTATTGTTTGTATTTAGAGTTAATATCTATTAATAATAAAAAATAAACTGTAAAAAGATCACTAACTGCAGCTCTGCGATGAGATTCAGAAAGCATTCGATGTGTAACTGCGTCCGGTTTTTTATCCAGATTAATCCAGAATGAATCAGCTACGGCTTTAGTAGTGTAAAGTGTTGAATTATAGTATGTATGATGGTCTGTCTGAAAAAGAAAACTTAAAACTATAAAATTATATGCTTATAAAATAATGAAAAAAATTAATTGGAACATATATAGAAACACACATAAATAGTTTATAATGTACAGNAAAAAAGAAACAAATAATCAATGAAAGAAATTCTTTTTTCCAGCTTGGGATGTACAATTAATTAAATCTGCACTAATATCAAAAATAAAAAACAAAGAATAAACTTCTTAAAAGTTGATTGCTTTATCAAAAGAATGCCAGACAATTCTCTTCAATGAAGGTCACTTTTTGGAGCTACACCACACCATTGAATGAGTGTGCCATCTTTTATCTGCTTACAAGTGTAATTCAGCATTACCCTATTTACATATTTAAGCATTATGGGATCAGTCACTTACATAAATAAATATTTGTTGGTCTTAATTTTGAATTTAGTATATTGGGGTTTCCATCCTTAAAACAAAAACAGTCCCCGAAAAGAAAATAACACCCAAAACATAAATTTGTAAGGAATTGAAGACTGATCAGTCTTCAATTCCTTACAAATTTATGTTTTGGGTGTTATTTTCTTTTCGGGGACTGTTTTTGTTTTAAGGATGGAAACCCCAATATACTAAATTCAAAATTAAGACCAACAAATATTTATTTATGTAAGTGACTGATCCCATAATGCTTAAATATGTAAATAGGGTAATGCTGAATTACACTTGTAAGCAGATAAAAGATGGCACACTCATTCAATGGTGTGGTGTAGCTCCAAAAAGTGACCTTCATTGAAGAGAATTGTCTGGCATTCTTTTGATAAAGCAATCAACTTTTAAGAAGTTTATTCTTTGTTTTTTATTTTTGATATTAGTGCAGATTTAATTAATTGTACATCCCAAGCTGGAAAAAAGAATTTCTTTCATTGATTATTTGTTTCTTTTTTCTTTGCTTGTACAGTACATAATTGATCTTGACTTGTTTTGAATATTTGAAATGTATATATTTATCACTAACTTCTTGTTTATAATCATTAAACAGTAATATATATAAATCAACAATCTAATATATAAACAAAAAACTACAATAATATTTAACTGCTATTTTGAATAATTGTATTTCGCTTTCCCATTTAAGTCCAGGCTTGGTACTTGATTAGAACCCTAATTTTGTGTAACCCTACTTTTTTTGTTGTGTGATATTACAAATTACAGTATAAAAAAATATAAAGTAAATGATAATTTTCATGAATTATTCAACTGTCATGAAGATATAAGTAAAAAATTATTCTAATCAACTGCACAAAACTTTGCTGGCATTACTTGACATAATGGTATGTGCAATAGTTTGAAAAAATTTAACCATAAATAAAGACTGAATAGGTGAGTAGATTTAATTGAATAGTAGTAGTGGTGCCTGGTACTTCAAATTTAATTCATTCTGGGAGGTCATTCGAACTCCGAATCAATTTTTCCCATGTGAATTATCCATTCCCAGACCCTAAAACATACCCATTTCAATAAACTTAAAACAGCAAATACACATAATTTAAGGTAGAAATAACACAATAAAAATACCCTAATAATAAATTAAAATATGAAAACCTCAAATACAATACATAAATACTGTATAATAAAATGAAAATTATATTTATTGATAGTACACATCTTGGACTTTGGCATTTAACATAGAAGTGTGATTTAATTAAAACAGTTGTGAAATTTAAGATGAGATTCTTTGTTTAGAAATTACTATACAACTTAATTTTATTGAAACAAAATATAATGTCTTCAGATAAAATGCATATTGGGCATATTATGCTTTATGAGTTTTGAAAAGGATATAGTGCCATACAAACAGTAAAAAAAAGTGTATGGTGAAAATGCTCCTAAATGTCGAATGTGGTTTAAAAAGTTCTGATTGAGAAATTTTGAACTAAAGGATACAAAATGTAGGGGTGTCCAAAAGCTATCAACAAAAATTGCAGGAATAAATTGTTAAAAATTGACAAATAACACACATACAGTATATATAACCAAATGCATGGAAAACATATGACCATAATGAGAGAAAAGATGACTTTGACATGTATTTAAATATAAAACAATGATATTCACATTACAAAATTGTTACTTAGGATAAATGAGAAGATGCCTTATGAAGAATAATTTGCCAAATAATATTAATATTGAGGAAATTATATTGTCTAAAAATCAAATTCAGATTTAAATTTCTTTAAAATTTGACATCAGTCACCTTGTTCTTCTTGCTCCTCACAATTACATAATTATCCTTTCAGGTAAAAGTGAAATTTATTTCAATAACTCAGATGGACCATAATGCTCAGTTTATTATGAGGAATTTTTGTCTCATCTCCAATGGTTTAAACAGTATTTTGACAAAGATATCCTTATTCTTTATAGAGATTTATTTTTTTCAACTATATACATATACTAGCAGATCCCGCCACGCGTTGTTGTGGCTCAAAATGTATCTATTATAAATGTATAACACTTCCCCCGTGGGGGTGGGAATTTTTCAAAAAATCCCTTCTTAGTGTACATTCTCTTGATGTACCCTATTAAAACGCAATCAAAAACGCAAAAAACCGCATCTAAAATAGTATAATAGAAGCCAAGTTCTTCACAGTAAGCCTTAATCCTGTCCATCTCCCCCCGGGGAATTTTGACATGTATATTATATAAAAACACATGCGTATTTGAATGCAGCATTGTGTCAAAATTTCAAATAAATTGGTATGAACAAACAAACATTAAATTTTTATTTATATAGATAGATAGAATATGATCTGCTTTAGTTCATTTTCACAGAAAAGCATAATGCCTCACAGAAAAGCAAACTTAGGGTGTTGTACTTGTAGCGCCATCTGTTGGGCATAAAAGCCTTAACTCTAGATGATATCTTTTAATTTATATGAATGTTTAACGGAATAATATACAGCCTATGTCCACCCTGAAGTTCCATTCTAAATATTGGTGAAAGAATTTTTGAAATCGGATGAGTAATTTTGGAGATTACCCACTACATATAAACTTACAAACATTACCTCTTTATAATATTAGTATAGATATAAATTACAGACAAATTTATTCTTGGCAAACTATTGGAACACCATTGATTCTCTGAAGAAATTATTAAAAATTTATACGAAAACTTACAGAATTAACTTACATAGGAAAACAGTGTACACTGGATAACTGCACACAAATTCAGATCAAAACAAAGACAACTTCAATTCCGTCAATCCTATTTCTGATCTGGATCACTTACATTTAGTCGTCACCACTCAAAAACAACATAAATCTCATGAACCACCCATCCACTCCCCACTTGCAATTGCAGAATGGAAGTACTAACTACTATATGTTGTATTAATAAAAAATTGTATACTCTCAAGGACAGAATTTAGAAGCATCAATGCTATATAAAATTAAAAATTTCGCACTTACTTTATTAGCCTTTATCTTGTTAAGTGGCATCGAAATAATTAAAAATAATCCAATATATTGCATGATGTTTAGCAATCTTCAATATGTAAGCCAAATTATGTTTCTCTCATTAGATTCTATGTTTTTATTTAATCTATTCTTTGTCTGTGTTTCTTAATTTTAAATTTTGTTCTTGTTTAATGTTCATACTTCCATTTGTATATAAATATTATAATTTTGTATGGATAATTTGCAATGACAAATAACCCACATCTGCATACAGTCCCCAAAACGCTGCTAGAATGAATCAATAAAACCTTTGCATAACCCACATCTGTAGTCCCACACCACAAAGTGGCCGGCGGAAACATCACTCTTACCAATATGGTAAATATAATGAAGGTATCATCTTAAATATTTCATTTTTTTTGTTTCTTCCATTTCAGTGTAGAAGTAATTATTTTAAAAAAAGAAGAAATCTTTGAAAAATTCTCCTAAACTCAAATAAAGTAACAAGTTTTGAAGATTATCAAGTAATAAAATATGTAATAATTAAAATTTTTTCAGCATTTACTATTATATCCAACTACACAGATTTGACAGTCAATCACTTGGCTCTTTCTTACTCACGGTAAAGAACTAGCATATAATGAAATTGACAGTTTCAAAATAGTTGTTTGAGAGTCATTACAGAGCAGTGGTTCTCAACCTTTTTGAGGCTGTGTAACACCATTCATATAACTTTTATTACACGGAGCAATAGCATCAGTATATTCAATAAAACAGCAACGAATTGCTCAACTTTCCGGAAACATTTAAAATTTTGGTGCTGCCATCTGTTATGCTATTTTATTTAAAAAAAACGTTTCATATTTTTAACTATTATAAAATGGCAAAAAGCTTAATTTTGAGGGTAGGGATGGTTTTATAAAAAATTGTAAATGCTAATAACGAGTAAAATCGTCATTAAGTCCGACCCTACTGGAGATACACACGACCCTCATTATCTCCCCACACCTCGACCTTTACCAAAATTTAATATCACCAATCCCCTAATAAACAAACTGTTAAGAGAGGAAGAGAGGAACTATATCTTCATTTTTTATAAACAAATTACGATATACAAATAACATAAACAACACAATATTCATTTCTTTTACATAAAATAATGTACAGAACTTACGCGATAGGTGGGACCGAGCGATAACCGCGTAAGTCGAATTCGCGTAAAGCTTAGTTCACACTGAGCGCGATTCGCTAGCGAAAGCGAAAAACAGAGCGAATAACACGTCAGACATGACGTCGTTTCCGGCGAATTTTACCAATATGTAAGCCAAATTATGTTTCTCTCATTAGATTCTATGTTTTTATTTAATCTATTCTTTGTCTGTGTTTCTTAATTTTAAATTTTGTTCTTGTTTAATGTTCATACTTCCATTTGTATATAAATATTATAATTTTGTATGGATAATTTGCAATGACAAATAACCCACATCTGCATACAGTCCCCAAAACGCTGCTAGAATGAATCAATAAAACCTTTGCATAACCCACATCTGTAGTCCCACACCACAAAGTGGCCG